AGCGCGGAGACGCGCGCGAAGGGGGGGGCGCGGTTGACGGAGACGTGCGCGCGGGCGTTGGACGCGGCGCGAGAGAACGAGGCGCTCCGGGCGAGGGCGCGGGCCGAGAGCGCGGCGGAGGCGAGAAGGCGTAAGGAGCGATACTTGGAAGCGAAGAATGCGCTCAGGGAGGACGACGCGGCGAGACGGGACGCGGAGCGGAAACGGAGGGCGGAGACGGGTCGCGAACGCGAGGGCGGAACGCGCAGAAAGCCGCGAATCGATATCGAGGCGACGAAGGAGACGAGCGAGACGCGAGTGGAGCTCGTGGAGAACGGTGGATTTGATTTCGGCGACGATTGAGGCGTGCGGTTGTATTGGATGGTAGGATTTTTATTGCTTTCTGCTGAACGGACACGGATCAAACTTGAAAGCGCCCTTCGCCTCGGCCGGTAGAGCGGTGGGAACATCCGTCGTCATCACGGTCGTCCCTTCGCCTCGAACGGCTCTCGCGGCGCTTTCAGAGGCGTGGACGACGCCGTAAACGGTGCAGTGTCTGCAGTTCGCGCGGGCTTTACCGTCCACGAGCGCGGCGTGCGATTTACCGCCGTTGATGCTGCAACTCGTCGCGTGCGCGGTGGACTCATCCCAGAGCCACAGTCCGCCGATGTTATCCTCGATCTCGCACTCGGTCGCGACAACTTTCGCGTGATTCGAAACGTCGATCCCCACGCCCTTGTTTTCGTACACCACGCACTTGCTCATCACTAAGTTGGCGCGCTCCATGACGATGACGCCATCTTCTTCATTCCCTTGCACTACGCAACTGTGCATGATGACTCGCGAATCTTCCATGGCTAGCACGCCTTGCTTCTCGGATCGAGTGATGTGACAGTCAATGAATGACGGGTTAGACGTTTTATACGTTCGGATTCCCGATAGACGGCCGGTGAAGACACAGTTTCGAAATAATGGCGAAGATTTTCCACCAATGGCGACGCCGTCGCCGCCACTCGATTTCACGACGCAGTTCTCGATGAAGGGTTTTACGCGCTCATCCCCGACGATACGAATAGCCTCGCTAAAGCCTGTGAAATCTACGTCGACGTTTTGAATCACGCATGGACGCTTGATTCGAAACAAAGCCGAGTTATTTCGACAGTCCACCGTCGCGTCACGAAACGCGCCTTCGCCTCTGATGAGCACACGCTTATTGATCTCGCACACCTCCCCGAGTCCGTTGTGCACTCCTCGCAAGAGTAAGATTCGATCACCATCGTGCGCTTTTTCGATCGCCTCACTGAGCGACCTTGCGTGGATGGGCTTCTCGCAGTCGCGCTCTGCTCTCGCGCCGCCGCCGCCGTACATTGGATCCACGATTTCGTCATCAAGTTCATCAAACGCGGCGCTCAGAGGAGCTTCGCGTCCGAGCCAAGCTTCTTCACCCGCACTTCGGACGTAAATTATTCTACCATCGAATCCCGCGACTGATCCGTTCTCGGCGGCGCACATCGCGATCTCATCGAGCAAGTCTCGGAATGACTTGCTGTGATCACCCTCCGCAAGCTGTAGCTTTTCGCCGAGACGTGCGTACGTCACGGCGAGACCATACGAGCCGATTCTCAAGCAAGCCTTGGCGAGTCTACACTTAGGTTTACTCCAGTGCGGCGCGAGCTCTTCCGCGGCCTGTGCGTCGCACATCGCCGCGTCGTAATCGGCCATCTTTTCCAGAGCCAGCGAGCGATTGCAGAAAATCACTGCGCGAAGGTTCGCGTCGTCATCCCTCGCCACCTCCAGCGCTTCGGTGTAAAAACCGTGTGCGAGGTCGAACTCGCCCGATTTCATCGCTTCGTTCCCACTCACTCGCGCTTTCGCTCCCGGAGCTCTTTCGTCGATTTGCGTTTGAGGCGTTTGCCTTCGCGTCGACGCAGTCCGCGACGAGTCAAACGTTTCGACCAACATCGCCTCCGTTCGCGCCGCCTCTATATCCGCCGCCGAGTCTCGCCTCTCATCAACCGTGCGTTCGCGTCTCGGCGGCGCATCCGCGCTCGGAAGCACCTCCTCGTGCGTCTTCGCCGCGTCTCGATCCTCGCTCGAGCGAAGCGTCACGTCGCGCGCCGCCGCCATGCGCGCCCTGTCCCCGCAAAACACCACCAAATCGCGTCCGCGTCAGTCCCAACCCTCCTCATCCCCCGCGCGCGTCGTCCGCGTCTCCCCGTCGCCTCGCACCGTCTCTCGCGTTCTCGCGCCTTGGTCACCCGTCGAAGCGCCTCCTCGCTCTCCGGTCCCCGACCCTCGCTCCGCCATCGCTCACGCAATCGCCTCTGCGCCGCCCTCGCGCGCGCCTCTCCCTCGGCCGTCGTCGTCGTCGTCGTCGTCATCCTCGCGCGCGTCCGCGAGTGCCGTCGCGCGCGACGCGACGCGACGCCCGCGCGACCCGACGACTGCGACCCAGGAAGAGCCCACGAAGACGAAAAACGCTCCGTGCGTTACGACGCGGTCATCTCGATGTATCACATCGAGTCATCACCCACGGTAATTATGACTCCCGATTCCCGACACCCTCGTACGCGCGCGCTCGAACGCCCATCGAGCGAAACCGCGGTGGAGCGGTCGTCTCTATGTATCACATCGAGTCATCACCCACGGTAATTATGACTCCCGATTCCCGACGCCCTCGTACGCGCGCGCTCGAACGCCCATCGAGCGAGACCGCGGTGGAGCGGTCGTCTCGATGTATCGCATCGAGTCATCACCCACGGTAATTATGACTCTCGATTCCCGATACCCTCGTACGCGCGCGCTCGAACGCCCATGGAGCGAAACCGCGGTGTATCCACACCCGATCTTCGCGCGCCCACCTCGAACGCCGGGCGCTCGACGTCGCGACCGCGCCGCGCGCCGCGCGCGTCCTCGCCATGGCGACCGGCGCGCTCGACCCGCGGTGTGAGTCGTGCCCGACGGCCGCCGCGCGCGCCGCGACGTGGTTCTGCGCCCAAGACGAGGTGCGCGCGAATCGACGACGGGCGCGTTCGCGACGGGCGACGGGACGACGGACGACGCGACGACGGGCGACGGGACGACGGGGCGACGCGAGCGAGGCGATGGCGACGCGGTGGACGCCGTCGAGGACGCGATCGCGCCGAGACGGGGCGACGGCGTGGACGATGGGGCGGCGCGGCGGCGCGTGAACGCGCGGTGATTTCGGATAACGGACGCGGTGGACTGACTTCGACGGGCGTTTTTTTCGACGACCAAGGCGTACTTGTGCGACGCGTGCGACGCGATGGTGCACGCGGCGAATGGGATCGCGAGTAAGCACGAGCGGCGGCCGGTGCGAGGGATGGAGCGGGACGTGGACTCGGCGGATTCGCGTAGGTTGAGCAAGTTGACGCGCGGCGAAGTACACGTGGACGTGACGACGGACGACGTGATCGGGATGTGCGACGAGTACCTGCACAGTTCGTTGATGCCATCGTCGTCGTTTCCTGTGGACACGTTGGACGGGGCGTTTTGGGACGAGACGATCGGGGAGCTGGATGACGAGACGGAGCAATTTTTGCGCGACGAACCCTTCGGAGGCGACGTGCACGACGGGATCGACACGTCGAGTCCACGGGACGGCGCGACCCTGATTCGGGGTGTAGTGAAGCCGAATTCGTCGGACTCGCACTCGGGGGAGTTCAGCGGAGGAAGTGACGGACGATCGCAAAAGAGCGATATCTCTCGCAGCGACATGGAACGGTTACGACGCATCGGACGGGAGGATTTCGACTCGAGCTTCCTTGGGCCCATCTTAGACGACTCCGCGGTGAAATTTCTCGAAGCGAATCCGACCTACGGTGTGTTCGGCTCACCGTCCCCGGAGTCGAGAGGTATTGGCGCAAAGGCGCTCGCTGCGAAATTTGGCTCGACATCCGTCCGGTTCGAGCGCGACGACGGGCTGATGAACGGTGTGGGACCCAAGGAGGAGACTGATGACGCGTCAAAGCCGGCGACGCGCTTCGACGCGCCGCCGTCGGGTTCGGACACGTATTCGGGCATGCCGCAACCACAGACGCGCTTGGAGCGACTCAAGCGATGGAAAGAAAAGCGAAAGAATCGCAACTTCAACAAGGTGATTCGCTACCAATCTCGCAAGGCGTGCGCAGATAGCCGGCCGCGCGTGAAGGGTAAGTTTGTTCGCGTAAGCTCGGTGCCAGATCTGAGCAAGATACGAGAGGAAGGGATCGATTCTGAGGACGAGGACGAAAAGGATGTGGGTCGCGACAAAATCAAAGAACTAGGCCTCGACATGGGCATGCGCGCACCGCCATCGATGCGAGCGATAAAGACAGGTCTCGTCGGATCCGCTTCGATGCCAGACTTTTCCGTGTACAATATGGACGATTAGACAACCGCCGAGCTGCTCTTTGCTCGATTTTTTTAATCCACATTCTTTTCAACTTGAACAAACTACACGCCACTGGCAAGGTATCAGTACAAATACAGCCCGCAATCGTTCGCGCTAAGCCGATCGCTACACCGGTTTGGGGTCATTCAGGTTCTCTATCGTGAGGAACGCGTCGATTCGACCCAGTATTGGCTCAAAATTATCCGCCAACTCCAACATCTCCTCTCGAGTGCCGACATTCGACACGAAGGAAGACCGCGACGGCGGAAACGCCAGCACGGCCGCGAACACAGTCCTGGTCAGACGTTTATGATAGCGTCGCAACGTCCGCTTGTACGCCGCGCTCGAGCACGCGCGCATGGACGCGTCCGTTTCCCCGACCTCTCTTAACAGCGCGCACACGAATTCGCCGAACCGTTTCAACCACAACGTCCCCTTCGCCGGCGACGTCGCATGCGCCCTCCCTTCCTGCGCCCGTCGCACCGACGCGAACAACCCATCACGTTTCGCCTCCAGCGCGCGCCTGACCTTGTTCACGTTCCCTAAAACATCCGATTTCGCCGGCGACAATGCGGCACCCAAGGCGCCTATGATTTCAACCATGCGCTCCATCGCCTCGCAGAACCCCTCGGCGAGGACGTCGTCGCCCCGCTCGCTCGCCTCGGCGTCCGCTCCCGCGCGCAGCCGATCGAGAGCGTCGACGACGCGTCGCGCGGGCGAGGGCGCGGACATGGCTGATTGGGAGTGGACAAAAGACAACGTCACGGCACACCGTGACCGAACCGGAGCGTCGCGTACGCCCTCGCCTTCGCGACTTCTGCTTCTTTGAAGTGACGGAGCACTCCCGCCTCGGTCCTCCAAGCGTCTGCCAACTTTCTCTTGTGGTCCAACCAGAGGCCGACAGCGTACTCGTCCGAAGTGTTCAGCGCACACGTCCTCAAGCTCACTGAGTGCAGCCGCTGGTAATTGTACGCCTCGAACGACGCGACTGTCGCGCGTACCGACCGCAGTGCCTCTCCCAGCGAGCCGTGTCCTTCCGGTCCGTACCGGGGATCCTCCACCACGGACACGTCCGCGTCTCCCACGTACAGCTCGCCGAGCCGGGCCGTGATGTCTGCGAACAAGCCGTCAAGTACGTGAAGGAACGCTGCGTAGAACGCGTCTGCGGACGCAAACGTCGCCAAGTCGTATTCACTCTCCGCCGGGTTCCCAGGGCCAGTCTTCGGGAATCGCTTTCTCAGCGCCTGGATGTCCTCCCGCGCCTCGAGGGGTAGATTCCACACCCGCGATGCGTCCCTGACCACTCCCACGGTTCCACGAACGCGCGACGACGCCGGCAACAGCAGCTTCCCTTCGTCATCCACCAGACGCAGGATCGGCGCGTCGCCGCGACTCCCCTCGTCCTTGGCGGGACCCCCAGTCGCCGGCGCCCCGGCCTCGCTCCGGTCGAGAAGACCACGCAGAGCCTCGAGGACAAGGGTCTCGATCGCCGTGTCCCGGCCCCCGGCCGCGCCCTCGGCCGCCGGACCGACCCCTCGTCTCCTCTCGCCCCTCTCCTATGCCTCTCTCCGATGCCCCTGAATCTCCCTCGCCTCCTCTCCCTCGACCGCCGGTGGACGCCCGAGCGAAGCGCCACCGACGTCCCCTCCCGGGTCGCCGAGCCTCGCGCGCGTCGGGATTCTCTCCCGATCGCGCAGCTCGACCATTCGACGATTCGATCGTCCAACGGGGACACCGAACGCGTCTTCGCGACGCGCCGTGTGCGCGCGCGGGTGCACCTACGCCGTGCGAGCGCGCGCCGGTCGCTCGCGCGTCGCGTGTTCCCCGAACGCCTGGCGTCGACGCACGCGACACAATCTGCCGCGACGAATGCGGTCGCGTTCGGTGTCACTTTGTGGACAAAAGACGACGTCACGGCACATCGTGACGCGCGCGTCGTCATGTCCGCCGCGCGCGCGCGCGGGTTCGCGATCGGATGGACGACGACGCGCGCGCGACGGGCGACGCGACGGGCGAGCGAACGACCGAGCGAGGAGGCGCCGAGCGTGGATTTCGTCGGAACCATTCTCCAAGACGTCCGAAAGGGACAGCAAGGATTCGCGACGCGACTCTCCGTCGTCGGCGCCGACGCGGCGGCGGTGGACGGATGTCCGGTCGTGGGTGACATCGTGCGCATCGCGTTCGGGGTGGAGACGGCGGAGGGTGAGGTGCTCAGGGACGACGGCGCGGAGGAAGCGGTCACGTTCGAGGTCGGCGCGAGCGACGTCATGGGTAATCCTCTGTTCAAGGCGTTCGATGAAGCGGTGAGAGGGATGAAGGTGGGTGAACAAGCGACCGTGAGCGCGAGCGGGGGGGATTACGATCCGAATCTGTTGTTCAGCGTTCCGGCGGATCACGCGGAGATCGACCGCCTGCGCGCCGAGTGGAGCGATAAAGGCGGCTTGGTGGAAGGCCTTACGGTGACCCTGGTGAACGGGCAGCCCGCAGTGGTGCGTAAGATGGAAGACACTAGAGTCGTTCTCGACGCCAATCACCCTTTCGCGGGATCTGACATCATGTTCCAGATTCGTTTGCTCGGCTTGAACGAGGAGACGGATGGATAGACGCGCGCTGGACGACGCCTCAGCCGTTTCGTCGTATCGCGTCGCGCGACGTCTTGGATACCCAACATTTAATGATTGTTTCGCATCGCACGTCAACTCGCTCGCGTCCTCGTGGAGCGTTTCGTCGCTTTCGTCGCCCGTCCAGCCCAGGGACCGTCCGCACATCACCGCGCGCGCGGAGCGAGAATGTCGCGCCGCCGTCTCGCCGACATCGCCCGCGCCGGTCTCACCGGTCTCACGTCCGGTGTTCGCACGCGTGAAACGTCCGTCGCCGCGCGCTCGCTCGCTCGGGGCGTCGGTTTTCGCGCGCTCGACGTGTCGCAGCGAACGAACGCGTCGACCAAACGCGCGCTCTCCAAGCGTGGATTCGCCGCGGATGCGGTCGGGAAGGAGGCGCCGAAGACGAACCCGGATGGCATGCCTCGATTTCCCGAGGTCTCCGTCCCCGGAGCGCTTCGAGCGATGGATTACTTTGGCACGAGCTCGTTCGCGATGACGGGGAGCCTGCTCGCGGCGGCGAGCGGAATGGACGCGTTCGGATGCACGGCGGTTGGCACGATCACGGCGGTGGGCGGAGGGACGGTGCGAGATATTTTACTCGGTCAAGGCCGCAGGGCGTTTTGGATGGAGGAGCAAGAGTACCTGTGGATCGCCGCCGGGACGGCGATGGCAACGTTTTTCGGGTGGGAAGCCGCGAAGAAGGAGTTCGGATTTAAGGATGATGATTACTGGATCGAAGCGAGCGATGCGATCGGGGTGGGGGCGTTCTGTGTCATCGGAGCGCAAAATGGGATCCGCGCGGGTGTGCCCGTTATCGCGCAGATGCTGTGCGGGGTGATGACGGCGACGTTTGGAGGCATCGTTCGCGACATTTTGGTGCAGAGACCGGCGAGAATTTTCCACTCGTACGCCGATATTTACGCCACGACCGCGGCGTTCGGGGCGATGTCGTACATCATCGCACGCGCGGTCGGTCTGCCGCCTTCGCTTCGAATAATCGCCGGCGTCGGCGCCGGCGTGGGTCTTCGCGTCGCCGCGGATACATACGATATCCGTTTGCCAGTGTACGAGCATGAAAACTCCAAGAAATCCGCGGCAAGTAAGGGCGACAAGCGCTTTTGATATCTCCACGGCTAGACCTGTATGTTATATGACAACGTAGCACGAACGCGCACATCGACGATGACATCACATCGGCTTTACCAATCCCTGCGTGCACTCGATTGCTTTCCACGCCGCGAGCGTCTCCGGATCCTTCTTAATCTCGTTGAACGGAGGATACCCCTCCTTCACCAGGCACCGATCGCCGTTCGCGATGTATGCGTCCAACATCTTCCCCTTATTCGTCCCCGACGGCGGTGCGCTGTCCTCACTCCACTTCTGCCCGTTCGCCTTGAGATACTCCGCCTGCGAGTGGATAATCGCGTCGTCGTTCATCAACTGACTGAACGAGTTCGTGTGTCCCTTGTGATCGAACTTATACGTCGCGAAGAAGTCATCGGCCTGTTCGAAATACGTCTCGACGTCGCCCTTGCCCTGACGCAGGAGCGCTCGCTGTGCGTCGAGTACGGCTCGAGCATCGGTGGTGTAATCACCAGAGCTCTTTGCGTTCGATCGTTCGCTCGCGACGAGCGGGACGGCGACGAAGGAGAACAGGGCGGCTCGACGACCTCGATGAGAGGCGTCTCGCGCTCGAGTGGGCTGCGCGGCCGCGAATGGAAGCGCGACGGGCATGAGGCGTCGTGTTCTGAAGAAGAGGTAGTTGAAAAAATCTGCTTGCGTAGCGGTTTAAAAAATTGTGCGTGCGCGCGTCTAAGCTAAATCGATCGATCTCACGAGATCGATCGCCGATTTCGATGGCTTCGATGCCTTTACCTTTGTGCGTTTCGGTTTCTTGGGCGCGCTCTTGCGCTCGGTCCCATCGTTGGAGTCGACAATATCCAATTTCTTCGCGGCGGCGTGTCGATCGCCTTTAAGGTGCTGAGCTAAATCGCTGAAGTCGGGCGTCGATTTCAGGCGTTCAAGCGCTCGCTTTTCGATGTACCTCACGCCCTCGGCGCTTTTGCCTATTCGAGAGCCGATCTCGGCGTTCGTCATGAACTCTCCTCCGACGAGACCGAACCTGTGCTTGAGGACGTACGCCTCATCCGAAGAGAGTTCATTCAGTGTTTTCTTGATGTCGTCGCGAAGGAACTCCAGTTCGATGGTGCGCGTGATTTCGTCGGTCGAACCCATCTCGTTCTCCCATGTCCCAGAAAGTCCGGTCTCGTCGCCGTCGCGCTCTTCGTCGCCGACGCCGAGGATATCGAGACTCAGAGGGTGCTGCTTTGCGATGCCCACGAGAAGTTGCAGCTTATCCACGCTGAACTTTTGCGACCGCGCCGCGATCTCATGGAGCGTCGGCCTTCGCCCGAGTTCGATCTCCATCCTCTTGCTGAGCTCGTGCGCCTCTCGCCTCTCGTACAACACCTGTTCAGGGACGCGAATAGTTCGCCCGTTGTTGAGAACGCCTCGCGTCACCGCCTGTTTCGTCCAGTTGTACGCGTACGTGCTGAAAGCGCACCCGAGAGCGGGATCAAACTTCTCGCTCGCGCGAACAAGACCAGTGACCCCTTCGTGTATCATGTCCTGTCTACTAATCGAACGCCTCTCCATCGGACTAAATGTGTGAAACACGTCCGTCGCGACCTTGGCCGCGAGTTCAATGTTCGCCGAAACGAGCTTCTGCCTCGCGATCTTCCCTTGACGCATCACCGCTCGCATCTTCGTCGAATCCTCCCCGAATCCCGCGCGCCTGGCCAACGCTTGCTCGAACCTCGCCTTGGCGTCCTTCGCCTCTCGCTCGTGGAGCGCGAGCGCCTCGACCACGCCGAGCGTCGCCTTGAGCTCCAAGCGTTTCGCCTCTTCCTCATCCCTCAACTCCTCCTCCACGCGCTCGATCGTCAAAAGTCTCTGCAGCGCATCACTGAGCGTTCGTATTTCGTCCACGTTCAGCCGCACGCTGGGATCCCTGGACGTCCCTCTCGCTAACGCTCTCTCGCGCGCCCATCGCTCGGCGCTCGACCCGCCGCGCGTCCCCCGTCCCGTCGTCCTCGACGTCGTCTCCTCACTCCTTTCACTCCGCGCCGTCGCGTCCGCGCCCGGCTCTACACCACTCTCACCACCCTCAGAGCGCGCTTTCCGTCGTCGTCGCGCCGCCCGTCGTCCCGCCTGCGCGCTCGCCGTCCCGCGCCCGTCGCCGCCCGTCCTCCGCCCGTCTTCCGCGTCCATCCCTCCCGCGCCATCGCGCGCGCGCGCGGCTCGGTCGACGCGCGCCTCGACGCCGTCGCGCGCGATGCGCGCGCGCCGCGGTCGAGACGCGGCGTCCGCGCACGGGGAATCGTTCGCGACGTCCGCGGCGCCGGCGCGAGGCATCGACGTCGACGCGCGCATCGTTCGACGCGACGACGACGCGGTGGCCCGAGAGAGGACGCGGCGCGGACGAGGGATGTCCGTGCGCGCGCGCGCGCTCGGTGGCGGTCGAGGGACCGCCGCCGAGGGCATGGGGCGATGGTGCCGCGCGCGAGCGCGCGAGTGGGGCGAGCGGCGGCGTCGGGACGCGTCGAAGCGCGGGAGACGGAGGCGTGGAACGCGTCGACATGACGTTACGATACACTGCTAAATAAATCATTTTTGCGGACGTATTGGTCGACGCGATCTGTCCACTCTTCGAGGGAGATGGAGGGGTCGACGGCGTGGGCGACGCGCGCGGCGACGACGCGCGCGGATGACGCGATGCGGTCCACGGGCGGGTACACGGCGCCCACGGAGAAGAGTTCGTCGTCGACGGATTCGGCCAAGGCCTCGGCGGCGGTGAGGAACATTTCTGGAGTTACGTTGATGGTGCCGGTGACGATGGTGGCGAGCGCGATGGGTGGGAAGATGAACGCGTTGTTCGCGAAGCCGGGCTCAAACTTCCGCGAGCGGTACGTGACGGGCGGAAAGCGGGTGCCGCTGGCGAATATCGCTCGACCGTCGCTCCACGCGTACGCCTGCTCGGCCGAGCACTCTGCCTGAGATGTCGGGTTGGACAAGGCGAAGATGATCGGCCTGTCGTTTATTTTGGACATCTTTTTCACCACTCGCTCGTTGAACTTTCCGGGCACGGCGGCGGCGCCGACCAGCGCGGTTGGCTTGATGAGCTCGATCACTCGCTCCAGATCAGACTCCTCCGGAGCGTCTTGCGCATACGCCAATTTGTCTTCGCTCAGCTGCGAAGCGCGAGAGCGCACGACGAGCCCTTTCGAGTCGAATAACCAAACTCGCTTCTTCGCCTCTTCTTCTGAGACGCCGCGTTGCACCAAGGCGCTAACGAAGAGCTCCGCAGCGCCGATGTTCGCCTGACCTGCCCCGAAAAATAACACTCTTTGTTGCGTGACATCCCCTCCAAGAGACCTGACGGACGCGAGCAACCCGCTCACGGTGACCGCGGCCGTGCCCTGGATGTCGTCGTTGTACGTCACGACCTCTGGCGCCTGCTGAAACCTTCGCAGCACCCTAAACGCGTTCTTGGGCGCAAAGTCCTCCCAGTGAATGATCGTCTTTTGACCGTAACGGGATCTCACCGCCACAACGATCTCGTCCAAGAGCGCGTCGTACGCTTTCGTACGATCGCGCTTCTGTTTCAGTCCAATGTACAGAGGATCGTCGAGCAACGTTTGGTTGTTTGTGCCCGTGTCGACCTGAATCGGAAGTAATGCGCTCGGTGGGACCCCACATGCGGCGTACACCATGCTCTTACCGGCGCTGATCCCCATTCCGTTCGCCCCTTGGTCCCCTAAGCCTAAGATTCTCTCCCCGTCGGTGATAACTGCGATCTTCACATCCGTCGCCGGCCAGTTGCGAATCAACTGCTTGACGTTCCCGGCGTCGTTTGAGCTGACCCACAGCCCCATCGGTCGCTGTACCAACGTCCCGAACTTCACGCACGCCTCCCCCACCGTGGGCGTGTACAAAATCGGCAACAAGGTCTCCGTCTGCGATCGCAGCATGCGATAGAACGTACTCTCGTCCGTCATCTGCAGCGCCACGAGCTGCTTATACTTCTCAAACGGCGTCTCGCACTGCGCCAACGCCGCGTTCGCTCGCGCGATCTCCACCTCCTCTCCCACCTCTCCCGCGGGTATCAATCCATCTACACCCTTCCCTCGTCGATCGTTCGTCGCGAGCCCTCGATACGCGCTCGCATCTCTTAAACTCGCGTACCCCGGTCCGCACGCCGCCCGTCGCACCGCGTTCGTCGGCGGCGCCCTATCCGCCGCGCGCGTCGACGACCGCACCGGCGACGCCCTCGATTGGTCCGCCCCCATCGACGCCACCGTCGTCGCGCTCGCCACGAGCGCCAGCATCGCCCGGCGATCGCGTCGAGGGACGACGTCGTCGTCGTCGACGTCGTCGTCTCGCCCACGCGTCACCGCGGTGTCCATGTCGCGCCCATCGTCCTCGCGCGACGCGCGCGCGACGCCGAACGCGCGCGCGCGATCGAACGCGTCGCACCCGCGTCGCACCCGCGCGCACACCGCGACGGAGGCGACCGCGGAGGCCATGGCGACGACGGCGCGCGCGGAGATGTGGACGCGCGAGACGGTTGGATGGGCATCACAGGATGGGCGCGAAGACGCTACCGATTCTGGTGGCGCACGGCGGCGGTGGCGATCGCGGCGAGAAAGAGCCAGGCGAACCATAACGCGTAAATGAAGGCGAGGTTAGCGCGCGCGGTGCCTTGGATGCCGTAGTAGTCGATGACGCCGACGAGGGATCCGTCGTCGGAGAGAAACGCGGGCGGCTCGGACCTCTTGAAATGGTTCACGACTTGAGCCTGCCAACCGTAGCGGACGAAGAGCGTGGGTGGCCACCACGACCAACCCTTGGGAACGTCGTCGTTGTGTAGAAGCAACCCGGAGAAGAGGATCTGGAGAACGTTGTAGATGGGGAGGATGGCGTTCGCGGCGTCGACGTCTCGAGCGATGGCGGCGCACACGTAGGCGACGCCCGCGCCGCATTGCTGGACGCCGAAGTAAGCGAGCCAATCGACCAAGAAGTTTCCACGCAGACCAACGGTGGTATATACGATGGATGTCGCGAGCAGGGAGACGAAGAACGCCGCCGTGGCTTCTTCGATGACCTTGTACGCCACGTACGCCAGGAGAGGATAACATCCGTCGTCGAGCTCGCGGTATAAGAGCGGACGTTCCATCAAAATGGAGGGCAGATACGCCCCAGCCGCGAGCGCGGGGAGGACGTTGTTCATGAAGAGCATACTACTTACGTTGATTTGTGATTCGAGCGTCATGGTTTTGCCCTCATCGTAGTACATGGTGGCCAAGACGGCGGCGAAAATGAGATGTCCTCCGCATCTCGCGCCCAGAAACTGTACGTCGCGATAATTTCTCGTGGTCCGATACTTGAGAAGCGTCCACACGGCGCTCAGGAAGCCTGGTCTCTTCGGGGCGTCAGCGAGAAGCTGCGAACGCGTTTTTCCGGCGTCTTTACGAGCGATCACCTCTCGGATGTACTTTCGCACCTCGTCTCGATTACGCTTATGATGGAAACTCGCCTTGAACTCTCTCGCAAAATCCGTCTCGTTTGAGGCGGCAGTGGAAATTAAGAAGTCGGCAAAGTTGTCATTCGGATCGAAGTAGTATCCCAACGTGTAGAAATACGCCTCGGCGCCCTCTTCACCGAAGAGCGGTCCGGCGTACGTGACCTTGCCACTTTTCAGCATTAATAGACGGTCGAATTGACGGAACGCCTCTGAGCTCGGCGAGTGAATGGTGGCGATCACCGTCACGCCATCGATGTCGCAAAACTTTCGAATCACGCGCATGAGCTCGTATGATGTCTGCGAATCCAAACCGCTCGTTGGCTCATCGAGGAACAGCACGCGCGGTCGAGTGACGAGGCTGATGCCGATGTTCACCCGTTTCGCCTGCCCGCCGGAGATGCCTCTCGACAGCGCGCTCCCGACGATGACATCGACGCAAGACGACAATCTCAGATCGTCTATGAGCTTTTCGACGATCGCCTCCCGCTCGCGCATGTCCGATTCCCCCGCACCGCGCTTGAGCTCTGCCTGATACATGAGCGTCTCGCGCACGGTGAGCGACGGCAGCAACGTATCGAATTGCTCAACGTAGGCCGCGCACGTCTTCAGCGCCGCCTTCGTCGCCGGTTCGGCCCCGACCACGATCTGCCCCGTGAGACACCCTCGCGTTTTACGTCCACTCATGACGTCCAAGAGCGTCGTCTTCCCCGCCCCAGACGGCCCCATGAGCGCGCACACGCGTCCCGGAGGAAACGCCGCGCTCACGTCATCCAACAACCGCACCATCTTCGTCGCGTCGTCCCGTGCGCGAACCTCGTACGTCAATCCTCGCACCGCCATCGCGAGCGGTGCCTTCGCCCGCGTCACCGTTCCACCGACCTCCCGTCGCGCGCCGTCCACGCGCGCCGTCCACCCGCCAGCCACCAGCGCCGCGCGCTCCAGCGCGTCGACGTCCACGCGCGTCGCCGCGTCCCCGCCATCGCCAGTCCCTCCACGGGGCGACGCGCGTATTTTTTCACCATCCATCGCGCGCTTCTCCGTCGCGCTCTCGCGCGCGCGTCGTCGTCGCGACGCGTTTTCGCGCGCGCGCCGTTTCGCCAAAACGTCCCTTCGTCTCCCGCGGTCGATCGCATCATCGATCGACGCGCGGTCAACGACTCGCGCGCCGCCTCCGTCGCGCGCGCGCGTTTTCGCGACGTCGGGCGATGACGCGCGCGGAGACGGGGACGGTGACGCTCGCGCGCGCGCTGTGCGAGCGCGCGCTCGAGCGCGCGGGCGTCGATCGCGCGAGTGACGATTTCAAAGTGGCCGTGGACGGTGCGACGCGGTACGCCACGCGCGTGCTCGCGAGCGAACTGGGACGACGGACGAACGACGCGGAGGATGACGATGAAGGCGCGCTTGGACGGGAGATCGCGCGACGGGTGGCGCGTGCGCGTGGAGCGGCGAGCGGGACGCGCGCGGCGGAGGCGTGCGAGCGATTGAGAGGCGACGGGAGCGGATTACGACGGCGGAGTGGGATTCTGCGGTGCCTGATGGCGATCTCGGACGACGTGAAGATGGCGTCGGGGACGCTGGAGCGTGGAATCGCGCGGGCGGGAGGGATGGTGCGATTGGAGCTGGACGCCAAGGCGAGAGCGCTCGCGAGAGAGGAGCGGGCGAGAGGAACGAGCGCGGCGCCGAGGGCGAGCGGTGAGACGACGTCTCGAGCGCTCGCGGGAGGTGATAAGGGGGCGATGGGGTTACACGCCGTCGGTCGCCGCGCGGACGCGTACAGGGCGCTCGAGATTGAAAACGTCACGCGCGGAGAGTGCGACGAGCGAGACTTGGTCCGGGACGTCTTGTACGCATGTCAGGGAATCGACGGTGAGTTCGTCAAGTTTTCCCCCGCGGAGCAGGCTTTTGTGATCGCGCCGAACGTTAACGTCTCGGCGGGGCGCAGAAATCTGATCAAGTCTCTGACCGAGGTTGGATGGTTGTTTAAAAAGGTGACGTCGTCGCTGGGAGACGCGCGCACGACGGGTGTGGATGTCGAAACCGGCGAGGGAAGCACGCGCCAGGCGTTCCAGGCCGCGATTCAACGAGAACTCGCAGAGTATTACAAGCTCGTTGCTGTGCTGGAGTCGCAGGCGCAGGTTCCCATTATCGGCTTCATGCCCGACGGGAAGGACGCTCCCGCGGCGAAGGGCGCGGACGCCTACCTTACGCTCCGCCGCTTGTTTCTTTGGCTCGCCGATCCATTGAAGACGCTTCGAACGCTGGCAATTTTGGTCGACGCCACGTACGGGCACCGAGGTGGAGCTATCCTAGCCGCCATTCATAAGTACTCCCGACACGGAGATCCGTCAACCACGACGTTGGTCCGGCGCATTTTGAGCGCGAGCGCGACACCGTTTTTGGGCATGACTCAACGATGGACGGTGAGCGGCGAGTTAGACGATCCATCGCGCGAATACTTCGTCAGAGTCGATCACGCCGTCCCGGATAAGGACCTGTGGCGTCGCAAGTACGAGTTCGATGAGAACATGCTCCCGTCGTTCATTACTCAAGAGCAAGGCAGAACAATCATGCGACTGGGTAAAAGTATCAACTTTCTTAGGAGATGCTGCGACGATTCGAGTTGGGCTCCCGAGCGCGCCGAGATTCTCAACGAGGTGGAGAAGGCGGGAGGATTAGATTTCGAGAATCCGGACGCCTTGGCGGTGCTCATTTTGGAGACGTCAAAGTGCATTGATGGAATTGTGCGCCGCGTGCTCTTTGAACGGTACAAGCTCGGTGAGCACTGCCAGGCGTTGAAACGCTATCTTTTGCTCGGGCAGGGTGATTTGCACGAGAGTCTCATGGACTTGATCGGTCCGAGCTTGGATGAGCCCGCGAACTCGCTGAGCGTGTTCAAGCTGAGCGGCGTCCTCGAACAGGCTGTTCGCAGTAGTAGCGTTCAGTCAGATTCCTCCGAGTTTATCGACCGCCTGCGCGTGCGCCTGATGCCACACTTGAACGAAGAGATTGGCTGGGATGTATTTACGCTCGAGTACGTCGTCAATCAACCGCTGACGACGATCTTCACAGAACACGCTATGAGTAAGTATTTGCGCGTCTTCAACTTCTTGTGGCGGCTCAAGCGAGTCGAACACACGCTGTGTGGAACGTGGCAGATGATGAAACCCACGGTGTCACATATGTTGACGAGCGAAGCCGCTGGAGGGGGGCCTTCGGGCGCTACGCTTGTGGCTATGCTGCGCGATTGTCACTCGCTTCGAGGCGAGATGCACAGCTTCATGTCAAACTTTCAGTACTACGTCATGGTGGAAGTCCTGGAGGTTTCGTGGGCCGATCTCGAGGAAAAGTTTGCCAAACACTCCGATTTGGACGAGATCATCGCTGCGCACGAGATATTTCTCGACTCGGTCGTGCAAAAGGCGTTGCTGGGGTCGAAGTCTCAGCTCGTCCTACAAACGCTCTACGCACTGTTTGAGATCATGATGTCGTTTCGCGAAGTCGCAGAGGGTGTTTTTGACATAGCCGCCAAAGTCTTTGAGAAGAAAGCTGCCACCCGCGAGCGCATTGCTGAGCGTGAGAAGAACCAGCAGTGGGGTACCTACGTCGGCGAAGAATCCACGTCGACAGATTTCATCGACAAGGATGAACTCTACGCCACGCAGGGCACTTTGTCGCGCCTCAGAGACGACTACTCGCGCGCGCTAGACGGGTTCTTGAACCTGCTGCCGCTGCAAACGCACGTCGACACCCAATTCTTACTGTTCAGGCTCGACTTTTCCGATTACTACGTCGCACGCGGCATCGGTCCGGGAGACGTCTCGCGCCGTGGCGAATCTCGCCAGCTCATCGGCGCGTAGGCTCGCTCGCCGCTTGGCGTCCATCACCCCTAGTCACCCGTAGCACGCAATAAAATCGATGCTATCGATGAATTGATGACCCATTTGATCTCCGCCCACGCGCAGCTCGATCGATTGACCGTTCGCGACCGCGTTGATTCGGTGCTCGCCGACGCCCTCAACCTCACTAGCGGACGCGCGCGCTCAAACACTCAAGATGGGAGGAAACAACTCCAAGCCCAAGGCTCCGCCGCGATCGGTCATAGTCATCTTCGGCCCGCCCGGCGCGGGCAAAGGTACGTCTCACATCGATCTACGTCCCCGATCGACGCACCCGCGCGTCCGCGCGCGCAGTCAACGCGAAAGAACGCTCTCGATGACTTTCGAGGGCGCTCGATGGAAACAAACCTCATCGCGCCCGCGTCTCGATCGTACGCTCAGCGACGGACGCGACGACGCGACGACGATGATGACGATCTTGATCCGTGACTGACTTGTCGACCTATCGCATCGAAACTTGCAGGCACGCAAGCACCGAAGATAACGGAGACGCTGAACATTCCGCAGTTGGCCACGGGCGATATGCTCCGCGCCGCCGTCGCGGCGGGCACCGAGGTCGGGAAGAAAGCGAAGGCGGCGATGGACAGCGGCGGATTGGTGACTGACGACATCGTCGTCGGTATCATTCGCGATCGCATCGCGGAGAAGGATTGCGCGCGAGGATTCATCTTGGATGGTTTCCCGCGCACGGTCGAGCAGGCGAAAAAGCTGGACGAAATGCTGAAAAAGCGAGGAGAAAAGGTTGACGTTGTCGTCTCCTTGGAGATCGACGACGCATTGCTCGAGGAACGTATCTGCGGACGATGGGTGCACAAGGCGAGCGGGCGATCGTATCACGTGAAGTTTAACCCACCTAAGAGCCTTTTGAAAAAGAAAGGCAAGAAGGCGAAGCCAAAGCGCATGGTCGACGACGTAACCGGTGAGCCGCTCGAGCAGCGCAGCGACGACACCAAGGAGGCACTTGTCGCGCGTCTGGAAGCGTACCACAAGCAGACCAAGCCGATCTTGGCGCACTATCAGTCCATCGTCGCCGCGGTCGACGCGTCGCGCGAGATGGACGCCGTTTGGGCAGACATCAAATCTGCTCTTCCCGTTCAAAGTACGTAATTTTCTCTCGCTCGCTCACGACGAAACGTAGCAACGTAGCAGAGATGCAAGAGCCGTGCGGAACTATCTTAATATGACGTTGCCTCGTTGTTTGAATGGTAGAAATCTTGAATACAGCTTCGACACTAAAATCGATTGTGAAACACACTCAAGGCTATCCGGGGGATGTTTCAACGCGTCGCAAACGGAAGTTTAACGAACGACAATTTCGACGGGTCGATCATTGATCCAAGAGAACGTTTCCTTGACGGGTTCCTTCTTCGCCGCCCTCTTTTCCGCGAAAGCCACGAGCTTGCGGATGCGCGCCGGTTGCTTCATGAGGTACTCTTGAGCCGCGGCCGCTTCGCCATTCAAACCCGTGATGTTGGCAATGTCCCAACGCTTGTTCAAGTGATCCATGATATCGGCATAATCGTGACCGGTGTAAACGCCCGAGCGCTCGGCGACAGAGGCGAAATCATCGAACAAATCGCGGCCCGTGCGCTTCTTGTGCACACCGTCGCACATCATGTGCGCTGGCATGGTGATTTGCTTCTCCATCATATCCGCGTACGCGAGGACGGCACCGTTCGGGTCGCGTGCGATGACCTCATCGATGATTCGTTGGTACGCGATCTCGTGGCGACCTTCATCGGCGGCGATGATGCCGCACATCTTCGCAAAGTCCGGATCGCCCGCCTCCTTGGCTAGGCGCGCCGTGTTCCCGTGAGAAATCTTCGTCGCACGCTCTTGAAAGGACGTGTACACGAAGCCAAGGTACGGGTTGTTCTCCGTCTTCGGGTTCATGCCGCTTCCGATGAGCTTCTGGATCGTCGTCTCGACCGCCTTCATGTTCACCTTGCCAGAGCACCACAAGTACTTGTTCATGAGATCGCCGTGACGGTTCTCCTCGGCGGTCCACTTGCGCGTCCACACCGCCCACGGGTGGTCATCGGCGCCAGAGTTATCCGCCGTACCCTCAAGCGTGTTCAGCATGTTCATGTACGTCGGGAGAGCCTCCTCGGTGATCATGTCGCCGACGAGCACCACCAAGAGATCGTCCGGAATGTTCGCCGCGCGCGCGCGAAGCTCCGCAACCTGCGCGTTCGTCGCGTTCAGCGCGTCGTCGTCAGTCATCCACTCTCCCTTCCACCTCTCACGCCGCTCCAAGCGTCCATCCGTGACTACATCGCGCATCCATCGACGCCGCGCCCGTCCTCCAGAGCTGGATAAACGATCTCCCCTCCTTCCTTTCCCCACCCGTCGCGTCGTCGTCCGCGCACCTGATCCAAGAAATCCGTCGACTCCGGATCGGGCAAAAAATCCTGCGGCTGCCAATTCTTCTCCGGATCCTTCAGCAACCCACTGAGCTCACCGGAGGCGAACGAGGACAAGTCCTCGATCACCGCCCGGCGCGTCGCCGTCAGTCCCTTCATCGTCGATTCTCGGTCGTTCCCATCCTTGACCACGATCGTGGGCGAGGCGACGCTCTCGAGCGCGCGCTTCGCCTTGGACTTCGCGTTCGTTCGCGTGACGCGCGCGCTCGGGAGCGCGCACGCGGGGAGACACAGCCCACGCATCGCGCGCGGTGTGCGGGGCGCCGGCGCGCGCGCGCGGGTGCCCTTGACACGCGGGTGTCGACGTGCACGCTCGGAGACTCTGTCGCGAGTCACGACCCGTCGACCGTGCGCGCGCGCGGGTGCCCTTGACACGCGGGTGTCGACGTGCACGCTCGGAGACTCTGTCGCGAGTCACGACCCGTCGACCGTGCGCGCGCGCGGGTGCCCTTGACACGCGGGTGTCGACGTGCACGCTCGGGGACTCTGTCGCGAGTCACGACCCGTCGACCGTGCGTCCCGGGTCCCGGGGCGGCCCATCCGCGAGTCGTCACTCGAGACAGAGCCCCCTCGCTTCGATCGTCCGGCGGCGCGCGATCGTCGCGATTCTCCCGTCGCGCGCGATCGGATCGCCGTCGCGGCAACGCGCGACGCGCGAACGACGGACGCGAACGAGATGTCCGACGGCGAGGAAGCGCGACGCGACGACCGCGAACGGGACGAGGATAACCCACGACGAGGGGCGACGATGGACGACGGCGACGCGAACGCGGGGGGCGATCGCGCGGGCGAGGACGCGGGCGAGGAGCGCCGCGCGCCGCCGCCGCCCGAGGGTGGGGCGCCGCCGCCGTCGACGGACCCGAGGGATCTCCCGGGGGTGTCCGTGCTCGTGCGTAACCTGTCGTGGGACGCGCGAGAGGACGACGTGCGCGATCGATTCGCCGGATACGGTAATATCCTCGACGTGTACATGCCGAAGGATCGGGAGACCGGTCGACCGCGCGGGTTGGCGTTCGTAAAGTACGCGACGCAATCCGAGGCGGACGCCGCTGTGGACGGCGGCGTCGGCGACTTCCTCGGGAGAGAAATTCGTTGCGAGATCGCGACGCAGCAACGCAAGTCTCGAGATGAGATGCGCTCCGGATCCCAGCGACGCGATGATCGACCGTACGCGCCGCGTTCGCGTGGCATGTGCTATGACTGGAAAGCGGGTAAGTGCGACCGAGGCGACTCGTGCCGCTTCGCGCATTCCGAGGACGCTGGCGACGACCGGCGCGGCGGATACGACGACCGGCGCGGCGGGTACGGCGACCGACGCGGTGGTTACGATGACCGACGCGGTGGTTACGATGACCGACGCGGTGGTCACGACGACAGACGCGGTGGTTACGACGATCGACGCGGCGGTTACGACGACAGACGCGGCGGCCACGACGATCGCCGCGGTGGCGGTGGCTACGGCGACCGCCCGCGTGGCGTGTGCTACGACTGGCAAGCGGGCCGATGCGACCGCGGCGCGTCTTGCCGCTTCGCCCACGAGGGCGAGCAACGCGCGTAAGATCTCGCAGAGTTCGTTTGCACGTTTGCACGTTTTTTGACACGTTTAGTGGTGGACCTCCACAAATTATGAGAGATCACGATACGAGCACAAGTTGTTGGTACAGTAGGACCTGATGAAACGAGGATACGTTGTTTGACCTAAGAAAGCTAAAATCTAATGTGTGAAAAAATCATGTGCCGCGATGGGTCCATCGCGCGGGCGAGAAGGGCGTTCCTACTAGAGCGTTTCATATCGTTAGAGGTGAGTCGCGAGTTGAGAAGCTGAATCACTCGCGTGTACCTCGATTGCTTCTGTCCCAGGATGCGCAGGAAAGCCTTTATTGCCAAGAATTCGATGTGAGAGTTCGACATTTCCCCGACACTACCGCAGTGCGCGCGCGCGACGGCGCTCTGGCGTCGTATCAGTATCTGTCCGAAACGAACCGCACGCTTGATGGCACGGAAAAGCGCGATGGGTGCGACACTGTTGCATCCCGGAATCGATCCGGCGGCGACCACGTAGCTGTGCGTCTTCATCGCCGCCATGAGGAAGAGCTGAAAAACGTTCACGCGTACGATGACCTTGCTATTGATGCTCTCGTCGTAGAAAATGCCCGCGCATTTCGGCTTGATGAAGCCGCAGATACGGTCAGGGAGTTGTGCCCAAACCTTGCGCCCGAGCGGCATATTCATAGCCTCACGGACAAATTCCCCAGAATACCTAGAATAGTCCACTAGCACCTCTAGAGTTAGACAATCGATTAATAGCCCACACCAGGGAATGTAGCTTCTTCCATCTGCGTTTACGAACGTCTTCTGCTGTATGTCTTCACCGTGATCAAAGTTGCACAGCGTCTTCTCCTCATTCAGTGAGCAGCCGTGCTCCTCAAAGCTCCGCTTACACGCGCGGAAGAAGGATGCCGCCTTTTCTTTGTCGGTCCCCACTACCAGAATATCGTCCATCCATCGACACACCGTCGAGTGATCGCTGCAGAACTCACTCAAAAGCCGATACTCGTGCTCGAGATGCCCGTAAAAGAGACTGCACAACAGCGGCGAAACAATCGAACCTTGCGGGATACCAACAGTCTGCAGCAAGTACTTCCCTCGAGCTGAGACGATGTTTTCCCTCAAGTGCGCGCGTAAGAGTGGCGCCACATTTGCGTCCGATATCGTTTTAGCAAATCCAGCGTCGACAACGATGGAATTCCTACTCTCTCTCTTCAGTATCGCCACGCCGCCGGTGTTAGTGCGCCGATTCGCCTCGGTGTAGAGTGGCCCAGGGGTCTCCTCTGACCCAGACGCACCGAGCGACGAAACAAGTTTTTTGTACTTCGCCTCTCCGTTGTGCTTTACCACGGCGTAGTGAAGTGCCTGGTACGAGCAACTTGAAATCAGGTTGGTCGCCACACGCTCCAATGATTCGAGCGGCAAGTTATCGAACGCGCCCTTAATATCCGTCGCCAGTATGCACGGTTTAATATTTCGTCCGAGCATTCGCTGTCGCCGAATAGTGCGTAAACATGGTCCGAGGCGCAGTAAGACATTCTTGTAATCCCCGACCGCGGAACCCATGACGTCGGGATTGCTCACAGCTTCGTGGTGCAGAATGTCCTGTACGTCCTTCAAGCGATTGTTTATCGCTTCAAATTTCTTCACGCGAAGCGCTGGAGACTTTTTACGCAGCTTCACTGCGAACGTTGTAGGCTTGTTCAACGTAGCGATCGGGCGCAATCCCGTTCCTTTCGGAAGAAATCGCATGTTTGAGAAACCCAAGTTGTTCTCCACGCTCGCTCGATCCAGCATGGTCATTGCCTCTCGCGCACTCAGGAGCTTGAACGACGTCCCCTCCAGACTTTGTAAGGTCGCCGTGACAAGACGAGACCATATTCCTTTCCGGTAGAAGAAAATCCTGTTTTTGTGCAGTTGAGTGTCGGTCACGTAAAAGTGAGCCCTGATGATGGGGAAAATAAACTCTTCCAGGAGCCAACCGATCCACCTCGTGGCCATGCGTCTTTGGCTTGCCTCAGCCTGTCCCGCGTTGCTCTTGTTCGTCGTCGTCGCCTTAAAGCACGTGAAGTCCGATGTCCGGATACCTTGCATTACCTCATGCAGAGTGATGCGCTCGTAACGGCGCATGGATACGATGCGTCTTATAGTGGCACGTAAACTGCCCCGCGTGTGAGACGAGCCCAGCAGCGCATCCGGAACGATGCGTTCGATCACGTCCCAGACGAAAGCAACCACTTGACGTGGTGACGTGTACGCCGAGAGAAGGGAGTCAGCGTCCGCATTGTCCACTCTTGAGGAAGACACCATGAGCTTGCGGGGCATAGGTGCGCGTCTGTTCAGAAGCCGAGAGTAAGCGCAACGACGTTCACCTTCAATCATCGCTTGCAGAGCTGGCAACAGAGACATGCGGAACTTTCTAGGCAATCTGTACGTGCTGTTCGCGTGGCGGATAGCACGACGCGTCTTGTGTATTGACGACGTCTTCGTGAGTTTCTTCGTCTTGAATATTGCGAGGTATAATCGTCTCGCAGCGCGAACGCTCGAGCCGCCCGATTTAAGCGCGTGCCCTGCGGGCAAGCCTGGCTTCTTCGTGAAGCTCGAACGAAACATGAACACACCGCGATCGTACACCGTGTTCGCGATTTTAACTTCGTTCCCGCGAGACGCACTGCTTGAACGGTTCACCACTTTGCCCAGGGTTGCTGTTGTCGGTACTTCTTTGACTTGCACGTTCCGTTTCGCTATCCGTTTGCGCAACCAGCTTGGCTTTCTATACGGCTTCTTTTTCACTTCTGACTCCTTCGATACCTCCACTGTAGTCGATGATGTTTCCGCCATCGCCGTGCTAGGTTCTCTAGTTGTGCCGTCGTCTTCGTCGACCGAGACTTGGGAAGCACGATAGACATCGCTCAAACGTATCACTTCCTCGACATCAACTGAGGAGATGAAAGGATTCAAAGTAAGCTGTTTCGTCGGCGTAAACTTGGACTTTACGGCTGTCGAATCGTTCGCGTCCGCTCCCCTCTCCGACGATCGTTCTTCACGGCGCTGTCTCTTCCTAGCCCGTGCCTCGCGTCTCGCTATCGCCCTATCCTTACTCGTAGCCAACGCCTTAGACACTGCCCGTTTGCGCATCGCGTTGTTTATTGGGTAGCCGCAAATCTGCAATAACGGCGAGTCCCGATCTATTCCGACCCTGACGAAGACGCTACAGAATAGCAGAACGTGAATCATCACTTCCACGCCCGCACGTTCGCAAAAAGTATCCCAGATCGGCGATTTAAACGCCGCGTACGCGCTCGTCTCGCATCTCACGCTCACCTCGGCGCTTCCGCGTAGCGCAGCATCTCGGCCGCGCTCCAACCTTCGACACATCCCCTTACACAGAACATTCTGCGGATTCGCCGATGCGCGAAACGATCGCTCGATCGCCACTCGCACGACGTCGAGCGCCGCGTTTAATTCCCCGATCTCACCCACCCTACCCGAAATAGACGGCGCGCTCTCTGCCTCGAACGCGTACGTACGCCGCAACAACGTCTCCGCGTACGCCGGCTCATCCCCCGCGCACCTGAGCACCGGCACCGCCCGTCCACTCTTCGCGCACATATCCTCCACCAGTTCCTACGCATCGCGCGAATCGATCGTCAGTCACTCACCATCATCCGTTCGATTCCTAAACCGGGCACCCGTCGTCTCCGTCTCCGAGTCGCTCCGCGCACCTCCAGCGTTCGCACCCGCGCGTGTTGCACCACCAGCGCCAACGGCGGCTTCGCCCTCGCCGCGACCAATAACCGTCGCCGCTTCTTCGCCCGCGTCGATTCCTCCGCCGCATCCACGCTCGACGCGCGCTTCCGCCCCTCCGTCGTCGCTCGACGATCGTCGGTTTGAATCGCGCTCGCCATCGCGCTCGCGTCATCTCTCGCGCCGTCGCTCGCCCGTCGACGCGTCCTCGACCACGGCATCGCGTCCGAATCGTCGCGATCGACCGCGCGTCCGAATCGTCGCGATCGACCGCGCGTCCGAATCGTCGCGATCGACCGCGCGCGCGCGATGGGCGTCGCGCGTCGCGGACTCGAGACGGTCGCGACGCTCGCGACCTTGGACGCACACCGCACTCGATGGCGCTCCGCGTCGCCGTGAGCGCGATCGCGGCGTCCACGGCGTGCGCGGGGGCGATCGTGGGCTACGGCTACGCCCTCGGTGGCGTCGATCGGGGGTGTTCGTGCGCGAAAGAGCGCGTGCGGGGACGTGAAAGGAAGGATGCGTACGCTCGAGAGGCGCGCGCGTTCGACGCGAGCGTCGGTTCGAGCGAGTATTGGAGCGGTATCGAGGGCATGCGGGCGCGGTTACTTCGGGCGCACGCGCGCGGGGGGGTCGTGCTCGAGGTGGCGTGCGGGACGGGAAGAAATTTTGCGTATTACGACCCGAGAGCGGTGACGCGCGTGCGGGCGATGGACGCGTGCGAGGAAATGGTGGAGGAGGCGAGGAAGAAGCCGAGCGCGGTGGCGACGACGGTTGAGGTCGGGGACGCGCAGAGAATGCGAGGGGTGAAGACGAATAGCTGTGACGCGGTGGTGGACACGTTCGGGCTGTGTTCGTACGACGATCCCGTCGGCGCGCTGCGAGAGATGGCGCGCGTGACGAAGAGAGACGGAGGACGCGTGTTGCTGATCGAGCACGGACGAAGCGATTACGGGTGGTTAAATAATATTCTGGATCATTTCGCGGACGCGCACGCAGAGCGTTGGGGATGTTACTGGAATCGACCCATCATGAAGCTCATCGAGGACGCAGGTCTTGAGGTGGTTGAAAAGTCGACGCACCATCTCGGGACGACATTCGTCGTCGTCGCGAAGCCGCGGGAGGCCGTCAATTAGTCTTGTATTATTCATATGACGACATCATAGCGCACTATGTGGGGGATATTATTGGTCTTCCGCTCATTCCTACCGTTACGATTTAGTGTACACCTAATAGTACCCGACGCTAAATACACGCCGAAAGCCGCCGAGCACGGCGATGACGAAGAAATACGTCACGCTACCGGTGAAAATATACGAATCGAATCTGTCCAACAGGCCTCCATGACCGGGAATCAAATTGCCGCTATCTTTCATGTCAGCGTTACGCTTCATCACGCTCTCAAGCAAGTCTCCAAAAATGGAAGTGAGAAAGACCATTACGCCCAGTAACGCGCCTTGAAGCGGGGTCCCTGGCCAACCCATCACGACGAACAACCCGGCGCACGTTCCAGTGCACGCCAGTAAGCCGCCGACCGCGCCTTCGACCGTTTTGTTAGGGCTCACGCGCGTGAGTTTATTCTTGCCGAGCGTCTTACCAGCGGCGTAAGCGCCGACATCTGCGGCGACGACGGCGAGTACAATCGTCAACGTCGCCGCGAGTCCAAGCGTCCATACGTCTGGACCACCGAGGAAACTAGGCCAAAGGTGGATGAGGCTGCCCGGTGAATTCAGAGCAACGCCGCTCATACCGCGAAGTTTCACCCAAAATGTCGGCAAAAATCCAGCGTACACGAGCCCAAACAGAGAGGACGAGAACTCATTAAAGTGCGATTCCTCGTTCACGATGAGAGCAGCGAAGATTAAAAACAGCGCGATCACCGTCGTGGCGACGATAAACGTCATCCGGCCGTTGGAAAAGTGAAGGATGAGCGGCATCGCCGAGCAAGCCGCGACGCACACATTGACGCACCAAGGCGGCGGTGGGTACGGCGCCTCCTTCTTTCGCATCGCCGACACCATCCCGAAATACTCCGTCGCGCTCGCGCCGTTAAACATCGCCATCGCGATCACCCACGGCCAACCGCCCGCGAATATCACCGCCAAGCCGACTGCGCCCATGAGCAAACTGCTGAAGGTGCGCGTCATGAGGTTCGACACCTTTGGTTTCACTTCAACCTCCCCGGCGGCGCCGTCCGACGCGCTTACGTCCGTACGCATCACGTCACCCCTTCGCGCGCGCATTCCAATCCCACGCGCGCGCGCCGAAATCGACGTCTCGCTCAGCCCCCCCCTCTCGCGCGTCGCCGCGTTCTCTGTCGCCCGTCCGAGACCCCGAGAGATCGCGCGCCCGCGACCCCCCGCACGGCGCCCCACGTCCGCGTTCGCGAGCGCCACCGCGTCCCGCCGCGCGACGACGACCTGGGGTCGACAAAAACCTCGTCCGATTCGCTCGTCACGCATTCCTCGGCATCGCGCGCTCGTCGCGCTCGCGCTCGCGCTTCGACGCGCGTCGACGCGCGACATCGCGTCCCGAGCGAGACGACGTCGAGATCGACGCCCGCGAACGCCCGAGCGGGTCCAGCGCGCGCGCGCCGTCGTCGTGTGCGGCGCGTCGTTCGCGCGCGCGGGCGCGAGGGCTGGACGCGCGCGCGCGCGGTCGAACCCCGTATACAAGGTGATTTCACGCCATCACGCCATACCTGTGACGTATACAAGCCCTCGATACGAGGAGCAAAGACCCGCGACGTTTGAACCCCGCGCGCGCGCGACCGACGAACGACGCGCGCGCGCGTCAGTGTGGCAAGCTCTCGCGGGCGCCGCGCTCGATTCGTCCATCGTCGTTCGCTCGATAATTTCCCGCGCGCGTCGAGGGCGAGCGCGGACGGTGCTCGACGTCGCGCGGTTGAGACGCGCGGGAGATCGCGCCTCGAACCCCACGCGGGCACGCGCTTGGAGGGGCTCGTTCTTGAATCGTGATTCGAGAATTCGATCCATATGTCTAGCGCGAACGGGGGGAATGGCGCGCGCGGCGCGAACGCGAACGGCTCGCAGCATCGATGGCGGACGTGGCAGAGCGACGAGGATATTCCGCAGCGGAAGATCCTGATTCAGCACATGTACGTGGCGAGACGAGGGAGAAAACGGGCGCGAATGGGCGATCTTGCGCGATGGGGTTTAGGGCTTGAAGGACGCGCGCGACGACGAAGCGCGTGCAAGACTTGATGAATGACGACTGACTGACGCATTTTCTTGACGCAGTCTGCGAGTTTTCAAACAGAGAAAGCCTGAACTCACGAATGAGTGGAAGCATAAGCTTCCGGACTTCGTGCTGCGACTGGAGGAGGCAGTGTATCGCGGTGCTCGCAGCAAGGTGCGCACATTTGAATTCGCACGTCGATTCGACGCCCTTTCGACGATTTCGCGACGACGTTTCGACCCGTGGCGAGTGTACTGACAAAACTATCACTCGACTGACATCGCGTCGCCATCACGACGGCCGCTTTGTAGGATGAATATTGCGACAAGGCGACATTGGAAGCACGCCTGCAAGCTGTCGCTCGAATCATGATTCAGCGTCAAGGAATGCAACAGGGGCGAGGGGGGGCCGGGACGAGTGCTGCTTCTCGGCAGCAAATGGGAGCATTGTTTCCTGGTATGGGGGGTGCGATGCAGCAACCGGTTCCGGGGCAGGCACAGGGGATGATGGGCGGTAACGGGATGTTACCGAATGGGGCGCCGATTCTTCGCGGCGCTGCGGCGCAAGGTGCGGCGTATATAGGAGGACAGCAGCAAATGATGGCGGGTGTGCCACCGGGGACAATGATTCCAACGCCAGGTGCAGGTGGTGGACAGATCAAGTCGGAACCTGACGTGCCGACAGGGCGCGCAAGGCCGGCTGCGAAGGGCAAAAAGCTCACGAAGGCTCAGCAAGCGCAGCTGGCCGCACAGCAGCAACAACAAATGGCTCAGCAAGCTGCGATGAGACACGGTGGACAGGGTAATGTGACGAACTGGCGCGATATCAGCGACGAACAGTTGCGTAAGGCGTACATCGTCAAGCAGCAGCGATGGCTGCTGTTTCTTCGTCACGCGAGCAAGTGCCAAGCTAGGCACGGTGAGTGCCCATACACTCCGCACTGTCACGTGGCGAAGCAGCTATGGGAACACGTGTTGAAGTGTACTCTGCCGCAATGCAATTATCCCCGTTGTCTAGCATCACGAGAGCTCCTCAAGCATCACCAAACGTGCAAGGATGCCAGGTGTCCAGTGTGTGGACCGGTTCGCAACGCCATGCTCAAGCAACGACAGCAAGCTGAAATGGCGCACGGTAACAAGCGCATGAAGTTGGATGATGATCCGCACAGAGGGCAACAAGTGGTGAAGGGGTCGAGTGGTTTGAACAAGGATCGCAAGCCTGGTGGAGAAGGCACCTCCTTGATGGAGTGCTTCACTCCAGAAGAGATTCGTGTGCACCTCTCTTCGCTGCGCCTTGCTGACAAGGAAAAGATTCAAGGGCAAGGGCAACCAAGCGCTCGCCAACTTCACAAGGAAGCCGAGCGAGCCGTGCTCAATGCCGAGAGTGCTTGTCGTGCCTGTGGTGTCGAACGCTTGACGTTTGAACCGCCGCCGCTTTACTGCTACAGTTGCGTCACGCGCATCAAGCGTGGACAAGTATACCATCATGCGCCCACCCTCGGAGGCGAAACCAGACGAGACGCGTGGTGTAATCCGTGCTTCAACGGGATTCAAGGTTTCGTCGACGTCGAGGGCCAGCGCTTCCCGAAGCAAGCTCTCATCAAGAAGAAGAACGACGACGACTTGGAGGAGCCCTGGGTGCAGTGCGACTACTGCGAAGATTGGTATCATCAAATCTGTGTCTTATTCAATGGACGTCGTAACGAAGGCGGTGAGGCCCCGTTTACGTGCCCGAACTGTATTTTGTCGCAGTTGGAAAAGGATGAGCGTCAAGTCACGAAAGAGCGTCCTTCGTCTCAGCAACCGGCGAACTCGCTCCCGAAGACGAAGATGTCCAACTTTCTGGAAGAGCGACTCGCAACGGTGCTCGCGAACGAGCGCGAAGCGCGCTCGAAGCAGTTGGGTGTTCCTATTGATAATGTTCCCACCGCGGAAGGCTTGACGATCCGCGTCGTCTCTCAGACGATGAAGCAGATGGATACCAGGTCACATTACTACTCGCACTTCAAGGGTGAAGGGATCCCAATGCATTTTGCGTATCGCTCTCGCGTCATTCTCTTGTTCCAGAACCTTGAGGCTGTGGATGTTTGTCTGATGGCTATTTATGTGCAGGAATACGATGACGAATGCCCCGAGCCGAACAAGCGAAGGATTTACCTTTCTTATTTGGACTCTGTCAAGTATTTCCGACCCGATAACGTCACAGTCGCGACGGGAGAAAGTTGTGCTCTGCGCACGTACGTGTATCACAACATTCTGGTCGCGTACTTGGACTACGCCAAGGCGCGTGGATTCACTTCTTGCTTCATTTGGGCTTGCCCTCCGTTCCAGGGTGACGACTACATCTTGTACTGCCATCCTAAGGTTCAAAAGACGCCGAAGGCTGACAAGCTGCGAGAGTGGTATATGAAGATGTTGCGCTCTGCTCAACAAGATGGAATTGTCCTGTCCACTTCCAACGTATACGACGAATTCAGGCTTGGCAACCAAAATCACGACATCAGGAACGCTACAGAATACCCATACTTCGATGGTGATTATTTCTCCGGTATCGTTGAGGACTGGATCCCGACCATCATGAAGGAGCTCGAAGAAGCGAAGAACATCGAAGCAAAGACGAAGTCGTCGACCGTGAAGATCAGCGCTCGTAAGGCCGCTAAGGCGAAGAGTGGTCTTCTCTCCGCGGATGCCGAGCTGAACAAGGAGCTCATGAAGAAGCTTGGTTCGACGATTAGTAACATGCGGAACGATTTTATCCTCGCTCACATGGCTCACCAGTGCTTGAGCTGCCGCAAATACATCGCCGGCGCCACGCGACACTTCGCCACTGAGGGAACGCCTCTGGTGTTGTGCCAAGACTGCAAGGACTTCGAAGACGCTTTACCCGAGCACGAAAGACGCTACACCGGGCGCAAGCTCAGCAGTGAAGAGTGCCCTGAGCTTGTCACGCTTACGAAGGAGGAGAAGGAGGAGGAAAAGTTGGAAAGCGAGTTCTTTGACACGCGTCAAGCCTTCTTGTCCTTGTGCCAAGGCAATCACTTCCAATTCGACTCTCTTCGTCGTGCCAAGCACACGACGATGATGGTGTTGTATCACCTGAACAACCCGTCGGAGCCTGCGTTCGTGGCTTCTTGTAACGTGTGCTCTCGCGAGCTCGAGCCCGGCAAGGGATGGCGTTGCGAGACGTGCGCCGATTTTGACATTTGCGATAATTGCCGCATCCGAGTCGGTCACCAGCACCCGCTCATGCGCCAAGGCCGCGTCGCTGGCGATCGCACGGCGATGTCGCAGGCAGAGCGCGAAAACCGTGCGGCTCAAATTGAGCGTACGATGGAGTTGCTCGTCCACGCGTGCAACTGCCGCGACCCGAAGTGCGACAACAGCAACTGCCCAAAGATTAAGCACCTTCTCAAGCACGCGTTCTCGTGCACCATCAAATCCGCGGGCGGGTGCCAACTCTGTCGAAAGACTTGGACGCTTTTGCAAATTCATTCCAAGCAGTGCATGGATGACAATTGTCCCGTGCCCAAGTGCAAAGACCTCAAAGAGTACCGCAGGCGTACTCAAGAACAAATCGAGGAGCGTCGGCGTGAGCAGTACCGCCTCTACCTCAACGCCGCGCGATGATGGTAAACCCGTCGCGCGAACTTCAAAAATCAGTTTAGCCACACACACGCGTGTAAACCACAGCAAAAGTAGCATCGAGACGTTCCTCTTTGGCTTCGTGAGTCGCGAGCGAACGAAACGCCTCGCAGCCTACAGTCCGCACTCTCTCACGCGAGACTTTCTCGACATGCGCGACGCCGACATAGACGCGGACGGCGACGCCCCCGACGATCACACGCGTGTACCAGCCTTACGCTTCCGTACCTCGACGCAAGACGCGGACACGGACGAGGACGAGGAGTCGGCGAGCGATTCCGAGCTCGCGAATGAATTCGACGGTTTAGAGCTCTTACGAGCGGGTTCTCTCGCCGATAAGGTCGTCGCGTACGAACGTTCGACGAGCGGGAACGCAGCTGTGGTGAGCCGGGACGCGCGGACTATGCTGGAGGAGCTGGAGGAGGCGAAACGGAACCCCACGGTGGCGGCATTCCTGCGCATGGGCGAGACGGGCGACGCGGGGAAGCGACGAAGGCGACATCGAAGGCGAGCGACTGGAAAGTCGAAGCCGATGAACGAGGCGAATGAGTTGATAAGTGATGCAACGATATTGTATGCGCGAGGGGCGTACGCAGACGCGGTGATTAAGCTGCACGCGGCGATCGTTAAGGCGCCGAACGCGAGCGAACCGTACGAGCAGTTGGCGCTCGTGTACGAGGAGATGGAAGATTTAGAAAAGGCGCTGGATTGTTACTCGATCGCCACTGTGCTCAAACGTGGGGTCGACCCGTCAATGTGGTATCGCATGGCGACACTCGCGGTGAATGTGAACAAGAAGGAGTATGCGTTACACTGCTTGGCGCGAGCGGCGAGATCGGATCCGCGAAACTACGAGAATAAGATGGACCAAGCGACTCTGTATTCTGAGCTCGGCGACACGAAGAAAGCGATAGAGCAGCTCGAGTGGGTACTTAGAGATGACTTACCTCCTTTAGATGGCGCCATCTTGCGAGACGCGACGGTATTTCTAGCAAAGCTGTACTACGGCGCGGAGTCGCGTGAGAAGGCGGAATACGCATTGGAGCGCTTGTTGGAAAGACATCCTCAGCACGTAGACGCGACTGTGGTTAACATATTGATCGAGTTGAAGATTGAGTTTCGCAAATACTCTGAGGTGCTAGATATCGTCAAAAAAGCACACGCAACCATCGTAGAGCACATGGACAACGGTGAGCTGCCGTTGGACATTTCAGTGAAATTGGGACAGTGCCAGCTGTATGAAGGGCAGATAGAGGACGGTTTGAGGCGAGTCGATGAGCTCTTGGCGCATCAAGTGACGGAGTTCGACGATTTGTTCTTCGACTGCGGGAATACGCTGATGGACGTCGGGCTCGCCCTGAAGGCGGAAGAAGTTTTTCGCCCACTACTGTCGCTTGAGGCATACGACAACGTAGAACTCTGGCAACGAATAGAGCGGTGTATCGAGCAGTCACAAGGTTTGTTCGCCGTGATAGAGTTCTATGATTCCATGCACGACAAGCATCCGAGTGATGTGTTCATCGCCGTGTCTCTCGCCGACGCTCTTTCACGCTGTGATGACGACCTGGAATCTCTGAGCAGAGCTCGCTCACTCGTCTCGAACTTGGACGATGTCGAGGTTCAGAAGTACGGCATCTCACTTCGCGTGACCGCGTTGCAAAGAAAACTTTTGAGCGACGAAGAACTGACAGTGATCATTCCGTCTGCGCTGAAATTACTGGATGACTTGATGGATCAGAGATCGCAACGAAAACTTCAACGAGTGGGTCAGGCAAACGACACTTATGTTGACGACAACGTGAGGATCTCTGACAACGATGTATTCGCCACCATTATCAGTGGCGCAGAGATTGCGATTCGACTCGGCAGACATGACGATGCCGCGAAAATCGTGACGAATGCTCTGTCATTTTCGGCAGGGAGCGTCTTGACACGTGAACAGACGGCGACTTTGCGCTACCTGAAATCATTGGTATCCTACCAAGCCGGAGACTTGCAGGAGGCTTCGGCCAACTGTCGAAGTGTTCTTGAAGTGTTCCCGGCATCTGTGACGGTTTGGAATATGCTCATGCAAATGGCTGTTGACTATCCGCGAGCGCTGAGCGTGGGCACATCCAAGCTTGCGAAGCGGCTCGTCGCGAACAGCGTAGACAACACAGTGAGAGCGCGCCTCGTTCCACTCATGGCTTCGGGATACGTACACACTTGGAACAAGAAGTGGTCTATAGCGATGCACGATTTTCTCACTGCCCTGACGCTCGCCCCGAACGATCACGAGGTCACGCTTGCTGCGGCTATTTCTCTTCTTCACATGGCCACCAGGAACTCAAACGAGCAGCAGCGGCACGCGTTGGCGCTTCGCGCTATCGTTCTCCTCGAGCGCACTGCTGACCTGAATTCAGCGCATCCGCAAGAGGGATTGTACAATCTAGCCAGAGGGTTACACCATCTCGGCTGGTCGCATCTCGCCCGTCGACTGTACGAGCGTTGCCTCGAGGCACCGGTCACTGAGGTCGAAGGCGATGGTGCAGCTGTCGATTTGAAGCGAGAGGCAGCGTACAATCTGTCGTTGATTTATCGCAAGTCGAACGCGCACGGATTAGCGAGAGACATTCTCCGCAAATACATGACGGTTTGATCGAAGATCTTGTACAATCGCTATAACATACGTCCTATTCGCGCCCCATTCTAACTTACTTCTCCCGCTGAAACAGTCCAGCGAGGCGTGAAGCGAGCCCCGATGTCGTGGACGGCACCCTTCGTAACGTCGGCACCGGCGCCACCGCTCTCGCTTGAATTTGTGCCCTGAGATTCTTTACCTCGGTCTCGAGGTGCGCGATCTTCTTCGCCTGTTCCGCGATGATCGAGCACAATTTTATCACCTCAGCGTTTCGTTCTGCGTCCGCCGTCTCTGACACGTGCATCCTCGGCGACAGCTCCCCGATCATACTCCCGAACATGTCCAACCCGCTTTCCGGCGGTTTCGTCGTCGCCGTCGCCAGCGTCTCCAGCCTCGGGCTCTTCATCGACGACAACGGTCTCGGTGTCTTCGGTTGCGGTCCGTATTTGCGTTGATTCATTATGTACGTCGTCGTGTTCGCTGGTTTTTTCGGCGTCGGCCGTCGCTTCTCGCTCGACACGACCTTCTTCGTCGAAGACCCCTTCGGTTTCTTCACTCCGCTCGACGGCGTCTTCGATTTCGGCGTCTTGGGCGTCTTGACGAGGATTGTTTCGTCTTTCGAGGTAATCTTCCCCCTCTTCTTCTCCGGCGTTTTCGCGAGCGCCGCCCTGGTGGTCGCACGCTGCGACGCCGGTACCTTCTTCTTCGCGCTCCCGGTCTTCTTCACGCCGTGTTTTGTCTTTTTCGTCATCGCATCGACGACGCGCGCGATGCGCAGTGCCGGTTGTGTTAACGTGCCGAGTTTGGCGGTTAGAGGTAACAACCGGGATGGGTTTGCACGGGACGGGCGCATCGAATTACGGGACATGGTGCGGTGTGTCTGCGTGTACTACTACATTACATTGATGTCCGCTCGCGATCGGCTAGCGCGGGGGCCCAGAAGCAGGTTCGACCGTCGACAAGGCCGACGAGGAGACACTCGTCTCTGCCGACGGTTTCCATAAAGGCGATGCCGACGTTGGCGACGTTGATCTGAGATCGGACGGATAAGTCGTGCGTTGTGCGCACAGTGATGTCACCGCGGCGATTTCCGGTCAGAATATGACGCTCGTCGCGCGTGACGCGGAACGATTCAAAGGCGTCGTGTCGGTTGTTCGTACGAGCAAGCGTTGCTCCGTTGACGTCGTGAACAGACAGCGCGCCAGAGGAACCACACGCGCACACGACGAGAGACGACCGCGAAAGCAATGCTACCGACGACGGAACAGCTTCGTTCGAAGGACGTTCCAGCGCGCGAACTATGCGACCGTCCCGAATATCGTGAAGAATGAGAGTGCCGTCAACGCTCGCACTCACGGCCAGGTTGAGTTTTGAGCAGACGTCAACACACGTGATGGCCTCGTCGTGACCGAAGCAAATCAGCCTCGGCTCCGCCTTGATGACGCGAGAAAGACCTTTCGAGAGTCCCCAGCCCCCTTGAGGGACAGTTATTTCCCAGACTGCGAGCGTGGTGTCGCGACTTCCCGTGACGACGATGAGTTGCCGCATTTGCTGTGCGCTTTCATTCCAACTTCTGGAATTGCCTCGTTCACACGTGGCGAGACATGTCGTCACGTCTCGATGTGCGCTTATCCGTTGTGACTCGCGCCCCTCGTCAACGTCGAAAATACGCATACTGCGATCCCAGTGACCGACGCTCAGCAATAGCTTGCCGTCAATCGCAATGTTGACTGTTTGCGAGGTTGCGAGAGAGTCAGATCCGAACTCATCGATGCGTTTCACAGTCGCCGATTCGGAGTCCAATGCGTACGGCGCGGCGCCGTGCATGTTCCCTGTGGTACAATTGACACCGGGCGTACGCAACCGATAGGTTGAAACGAAACCATCACGTGTTACCGTGGCGATGCTCGAGCCGTAAGAGCGAATGCAAACGACAGTTTGACTTTGAGTATGTGGCATGACCGCAGTAGCGAATGACAAGGATTCAGGAGATCGTGAGACAATATGCTCACTTGGAGGACAGCATGAACGCTCGGTGTGCGGTCGCCTGAAAATCTGGGTCGGTGTTTGGCCAAAGTTGATTATTTGCGTTTCGATAGCCTTTCGTTGGTCTTCGTCTTCTAAAGCGTCTAAATCGACGGCTCCCTCGTATGTGAGGTAGTAGAACACGTTAAAACGCTCAACTGCTGCTTCGCCGCGTTGAGCGTGACCGAAAATCAAATCGATCCATTTGTGCAAGTTCTGACTGACGTATTCTGACTCAAGTGCTTCGCGCATGATGCGCGTGAACTCATGTCGCGAACCCTTCGCCCACGCTGGCAGCACGACATCGCTGACTCTCGCGCCATCTTGTCGCACCCCGAGTCTCAAATCATTACTATTCGCCAAGAACTCGGAAGAGTAATAAAATTCCGGGATCAGCTCCTTCACGTCAGCCATTGATTCGGTGCACCCCTTGAACGTTTCGGCGATGGAGTGAAACAGCCTATCTGCCCTGTCAAACCTATCTCCTTGAAGCGAACGCGCCAACTTTGTGAACGGTTCTAATCGCAGCAGGAAGTAAAGCACAATTGGAGATGATGAGTAGTGGCTCCCGTAATGGAACGGTGGTGTATCGGGGTCATCGAGCAATGAATTGAAGCGCTCGACAAAACTCCTGAGCCGTTCATCGTTGAGCGCACCGACGGGTTTACTGAGATCGCGATACACCGAAACGTCGTTCAAATCGATCGATTCGGCATCATAATCCCTCAACACCCACGGAAACACAGGATACTGACTCAAGTCGTGCAAAGTCCTCCCGGCGAAGACGTTCAACGCCATGATGTAATCAAACGTGCTCAGCAGCCGGCGCCTCCAGAGCTCTTTTGCGCGTTCAGCAGCCTCAGCCTTTGCCCGTCTGTTCATCAATACCGCACCAGCAGCCGATGCAACGCGCGATGCTGCATAACGAGCGGCGCGTTTGCTGTCGAACGCGAAAAATGCGCTAGTGCGATCTGAGCAATGTATCTCAAATGCCCTGTGTTGAAGGCGATACCGCATGTGATGCACTTGCTCGATATCACTGAGGCTCCACCTCCAAAAATGTTTACGATGGCCCTTCGCGCTCTCGTGGGTTCTGTCAGCAGCGAACACAATTGCATCACGACTGACGTTGAGTTTACCAGGTACTGTATGCGTCAACGTCACGAGAATCGCTCCACTACTGAAAATCACCTTGCTCTTATTGTGCATAGCGTGCTCTTTGTCAACAGCGAGCTTCGCCGCAAGCTCGTCTGTGATATCGTCAGCTTCCGTGAGTTCTTTATCGGCGCTCATACTGTTCCACTTCCGACCCATTCCGGCGAGGCGTACTGATTGAATATCTTCCACTTCTGAGATCGAAATTTGCTCGCCGCCCTTCTGATTGTCTGCGTATTGCGTGAAGCTGTAATCTCGCTTCAATCGCGCGCGTCGCATTGCAGAATCCTCGGACTTGTCCAACTTCCAGTGTATGGTCGCATCGCTGCTTCCAAGCGCCCAAGCACCGCGTTCCCCTTGGAGGCCATGTAAGATAGATGACCATCGTCGATCCAACATATCACAGCGTTCGTCAAAAGTGAGACGCTGCATCGCTCGACGCGCGCGTTCGCGTTCACTCACGGGAGTGACCTTTGACTTGCGCGTTTCTAAAAGCGCCGTTTCGGCCTGTACTTGTCTCTGTTCGTCGCGTGTTCGTTCAGCGAGGAAATTTTCACTGACTTTGGCGCGTAACTCTTTCACTTTTCGTGCTTCTTTGACTTCATTCACCGCTGCGGCGGCAACTTTCTGCTCCGATATTAAGTCTCGACCATCCAAATGAGCGGATTGCTCGATGCTTTCGCAGTCAGACAGAAGGAACCTTCCAACCTCGCAAGATAAACGAACTAGATTCGATACGATGTTTACGCGCGCTCGCATGTCCTCGTCTTCACTCGCCTTGCCAAGTTCTACAAAACGTATCAAGTCAGCGATGAACAAATGGGCCCTGTTACTCATCAGCGTCGTATCCATCGATTTTGCGTCACTATCGACGGTAAATGGGGCCAGGAAGGATGGTAGCAACCCGGTGCACTTGTTCATCATGGATTCCAAACCTTCAAGCGAGCCTGCTCGTACGTACAGTAGAGCTAGCTTGAAGCCCATGCCTTGACAACCCTCGCGCAATGCTTCGACTGAGTGAATGCTGTCAAAATCGTCCTCACGATTTGCAGAGAATGGTAAATCGCGCATCATACTTCTCGCTCGTCGATGCAGTTTTTGCGCGATGTTCGCATTCTTCGCAGTGTCCTTGATCTCTTCCGCGCTCTCCAAAGCTTGCCCAGGTGGCGAGATGATGTCGAGTAGATTCCACAAGCTGTCATAAAATTTCCAAGACAGTCTATCGATCGCCTTCACATCACTCGCTGCATTCGGCACGCCGAGCATTGCTGATGCGGACGCGGTATCCGATATGATTGAATCGAAGATTGGCAATAACTTTGCGAGGTTGCGCCGACAGATGGGCGATTCGACGCTATTGACTTCAGACCAGTCTTCTTGATCATTCGCAGAGCTGCGGCTGGGAATCACGAGAGATAGTAAATCTGTCAACAGAGCGAGTGCCAAATTGGAATCGTCAGCGAGCACGCCGCGTTTGATCAAAATGTCAACAACGCCGAGCGTATTCGATACGTGGCGGTGGCCGTCCTCGGTTCGCAGTACAGAGTGCGCGAGAAGAGCAGTGATCAACCGACAACCCATGGACCTTTCTTCTGATCGGATTGGGTCGCCATCATCACGAAGGATCGGTAGAATCCAGGCCTGCCATCCGCGCTGACCAAGCACAGCTTGAGCGTTCACACTAGCGCCCTCAACAAGTTGAAGAAGCAACTCAAGAACGCTCAACCGCATCTCGGGATCATCGCAGACATTCATCAGTCGCAGTAAAACTCCCGCGGCGCCTGCGTTGACGATTCCCGGTACACCAACCTCATTTAATCCTTTATCCCTAAGCGGGTCACTCTGTCTTTGCACCTTCGAAAACAGTCTACCCGCCGCAGCCCGTAGACTTGAACTGCGACTAATTTCTAGTTTCTCCGCAACTTTTTCTGCTGGCAACGCCTGACCTCCGAGCAGGAGCTCGAAGAGCGCGGGTCGAGATTCCGCAATATCGAGCGGGAACTGTTCTAAAGCGTTCGCAATAGCTGTGAAAAAACCAATCTCAAAGTCTTGCCCAGTCGTTGGCGTGAGCTTTGCACCGAGTGTCGCCGTCAGCGCTCCTGCAGCCGCACCAAATGCGGCTGAGAGGTGCGATGATGCACTCATTGGTGTTTCCAGCGGAGGCATGAGAGTCGCCAACCACAACAACGCGAACGATCTCACTCGCTTGGAGCTCCTACTCAACGGCGACAGCACTAGAAGAGGACCGCCGTGTCGAGTGAATGACTGGTAAAATGCGGCTTGTAATGACTCGCCTGGTTGCATGCAGTTCACAAGCCATCGGAGGACGTCTCCGACAACATCTTCGTCAGCACAGTCTTCAATCACACTCACGATTGTCTCAACCGTCTCCTCGACGACTTGGACATGTGCACTCATCACCAGGATCTTCAAAACGTCGAGTAACATTCGTCGCCGAGAGGAGCCACTTTCTCCCGGCGAAAGCTCAAGAGCATCGATGAGATCGCTCGTTGGCAAGTGGAAGCGCAACCCTTCTGCGTGCTGGGACGCTAACGATGCAAGATATTCACCGTGCGCCTTTTGCGTCTTAGCATCAGCCATGGACCAAAGATGCAGATCTAAAACAACTCGCGCCGATACTGACTCATTTTCGATACCAGCAGCACGTCTAAGTCGATCCAAGGCTGTGAGTAAATCTGGGCTTAGCAGTGTGCTCGCGTTCTCTCGTAAGAGATTCGCGATAAGTGCGTATCCATCAATAGACGTTAAAGTGAACTGATTCAGCCTATTCCCATCCAACAGAGAGATCAAGAGACAAATACCTTCGCATACAAGCTCAGCACGCCTAGATTCTTCGACGTGTTTGACGACTTCGGAAAATATGGGAAGTACAACTTGCACGCCTCCGAGGCAGTGCACAACATCTCTTGCAGATCGCGTAACGCACACTTTTGCACCTCCTATCATATCATATTCATTTGATCCGTGCAAATCGAGCAACTGCGACATTCGCCCACCCTCGGTAATTGCATTGATGTTAAGTATACAATGCTCCGCGAGATAATCGCGAGTGTCTCTGGCTTCGATCGCACTCATGCCAACCGCGGCAAGAATACGCTCGGTTTGCGATTCTGTCGATTTGAAACGCCCAGCGTACTCGGAACCGAGAGCGTGGATAATCGCGATTGCCGGTTGTGATATGGCATCGTCAAATATATGCGTTGAACCCAGTTGGCCGAAGAAAGGCGCCACCTTCACATGCGGATCCTTCAAACTCGTGTCAAACGTCACGGATGCGATTCGACAGTGGGAAAATGACTCAGTGGACTTGACAGGAAACCGAAGTTTCGACTGAGCGACCATGTCAGCCCCGATGAATACTCGTACGATCGGCTGTGACATCCGAACCGGAAGGTGTACCAAAGTAAAAAACGTCCACTCATTCTCAAGCAAGTTGAAATCAATCGATACCGTTTCAACGACGCCAACGCTACCACGAATGCCCAAAGTAAGTCTGTGAGCCTGAACTTCCGCGAGAATTCCGTTACCAGAGCCAGACATCATGGTAAATAACGGAATCGGAGCTCCAGAATCTGGAAACTTTTCGATGCGAAACCACATGGATACAGTGTAACCATTTCGTGATGACAATATCAGATTTTTATTGACGTGAATGCCACATCCTGGGCCAGTGAAATCAAAGAAAGTCGATGGACCATATCGTTTCGCTGAATTTTGTAAAATTCGCAAGATCTGCATCTTGTCATCCGTTCCAACCGATTCGCCCTGCAGCACTTCAAATACCCGGCGAACATGCTTTGTTGACAGCGAGAACGTGCTACAATATCCGATAAGTTCAAGCACAGCCTGTCGGCGAGTGTCATCCGTGCTGTACAGCTGAATGAGAAAGTCCAAAACGCCTGCTGCATCGGCAGTCGCCTTTGACGTCACAGATGATGACAACATCAAACGGAGTGCCGCAATGAATTCATCTCTGAGTTCGTCCGTCGCATCGAGCCGTGTGAAGAAACTGAGTAAAATAGCCAATGCCTTCGAATTCCTCAGCGCGATATCACGAGAAGCTCGCTCAAGATGGTATTCACCGTCGATCGCAAAACTCATAAGTGCATCGAAGAGAGGCTTCGAAAGCGTATTTGTCCCTCTAGCGCACTGAATGGCGTCCATAAAAGTGTCGTAGCCGACGGCAACTTCAAAGGTGGCCGCGGCAGAGAATGAGTCGGAAATGAATGCACGAACAGTCCCGATGACATCCAGAGCTACCTGCTCACCTGCATCGCCATCACAGAGTGCCACTATCTGCACGAAATCGGCACCATCTTCAGCTGATATCCAGTCTCGAAGTCCGGCGCCCGAGCCGTTCGGATTATTCAACATTTGACGTAATCCAGACATCATCCCTGTCAGTAATTCTAAATCGCTCGATCTTGCGCGAGGAAGAGCTTGAATGAATCTTCGAATCAATGTCGTCCAAGCTTCCCGCTGAGCACTAGTCACGTGTGTCGAAGGGCCGTGCACTCGACGCCCAATGAGGGATATAGTGGCTGAAATCGCAAAATCGCGAGTGGATCTCGCCCATAGGAGTTCATTAAGTATCAGATCTGGAACACCATCGTTATTCAACGCCGACACAGCAAGCACATCTGGACCGTTCAGACACGCGCTCAGCGCACTTAAAGTCGAGCCTATTGCGACGGATACCGGACGTGCTCCTTCTTGTTCCACATCCGAGACTTCGTCACCGCCCCAGCACTTCAACTGAGCACTGAGTGCGCCGGCAAGTCTACCGGGAGCTTCGATTTCTGATAAAGCCTTGCTCGTGGAATGCGACGAGTCCAACAAAAGGAGCTCTAGTACTCTACAAAACCTCACGACGATCGAAGGCTGCATTGCCCTGCTCGTGACGATTCCTATGAGCACGTTGCATTCAGCAACGCAGTCCGACGTATTTGCGGAGATTCGACAAACTTTTAGCAGCAGCGCTGCTGTTTGAGTTTGAACCCTTCGCCTGAGCATTGAAACACCTTCATCATAGTGCGCGGCGTCATCACTTTCGTTTATCACCGACGGTATCGCCCCGAAAGTATCCACGTCTAGTAAAATGTCCCAAAGTCTAACCTTCCGAAGGGCGTGAATGATCGACGCGTCGAGATCCAGACATCTCGAAAGGAAGTTGATGGCGTACAAACGGATCCGTAGACAACTTACTTCATCAGCGAATTGACTGTAGACGCTCGAGCACGACTCTACGACTGATCCGAGAGTGTACTGAAGCAGTATCTCTCGCGCCTCTTGGCTTGCCCTCCCACTATCCTCATCATCGTCCATATTACACTCGACGACTTGCATGAGCGTTCTGAACACCTCTCCCAGGACTTCACTCTCGTCAACGGTGTCATCACTGAAAAGCGCTGAATCTAAGGTACTTTTGCACCCTCGAGCGCCGAATATGACCGATATCGGACTCTTCGTGCGCGCCGCATCGTCATGGTCCTCGCTCAGTTCATTTGCGCGCCGAATCAGGCGCGTGAGCTGATCGAACATTCCCATCCCCGTTGCGCGCTCGATGTGCGACTTACTACCTTTCAACACACTTACGGACATCTCAAGCGACATCAAACAGGACGCTAAGAGTCCAGCATCTACGTCTACATCGCGTGGAAATACCCCCTTGAAGAACATGTCCAGACCGCCCGCCGCCGCCAAGCTTCGTTGGATGGCTACGTCTTTGTCCATGACGCGACTAATACACACCGACGCCGCGCATTGGATATCGATCGCGATAAAGCGCGAGTCGCCTAACGAACGAGTGGCGACAATCTTCTCGACACGCAGCACCTCAAGCACACCCAACAGAGCGCCACTTTCATTGAACGAACGAAGCGCCCATGAATCATCCACAAAACAAGCAATCACGTTGACAATGCTTGAAATGATGCGTTGTAGAGCATTCATCATCACCTCAGCCTCATTTCTCACGGCACCCGGGGCGGAGTCCGCGGCCGCGCTCATCGTCAACAAATGCTGTGAGCACGCTTTGCACGCGCTCGCGAGTGTTTTACTCGCCTCGAGTTGTTCCATGAACACCCTGTTGTGAGGCGACTTCGCGATCACCTCCAGTCCCCTAAATATTTCTATGCCTAACATGCGATGGCGACGCTCTCGCGCGCCGGCGTCGAGCGATCCGATCAGCGCGCGTTCTAATGTCGCCGGTAGGTTCGCCACTGTCTCCAGCGCCGCCGCAGTTACCTCTCCCGGATGCGCCCTCGCGCACCCGACGTCGACTGTGTGGCTCGAGACGTCAAGTTTCGGCTCCCATCCCGCGTAAACCTCCGCGAATGCGTCGAAGAACGCGCACAGCGCGTCCACACGTCCGTCCTCAACTCCAGCGCCGGACGCGACGCTCCACAGGAAAATCAGTTCCTCGTCCGCGTGCTCATCGAACGTCGCGTGCACGACGCTCGGTACGCACGACGCTTCGCTCGTCACGCAATGATCTTCGTCGTCCGGGCGCTCGCGCGGTTCCTCGCGAGGCAATGGGAGGCGCGTAGACGACGTTGGATTATTCGTCTGCTGCGCCAACCGACGGAGGAAATTCATAGCGCGAACGGCGTCGTAACGACGCGCGACGAAGCGGGACGACCGGGTGCGTGGCTAGCGTCAAGATACAAAGCGCCGGTGGGTCGTCCGCGGCGCCGTGCGGCGCGCGTGGAGATGTGCGGTTGGGCGCGGCGAACAGTTGGCGGGAAAGCAAAGTGTGCACAAAATGCGCGGGTAACGAAGATATCCGTAGACGCGTCTCGTGTTCTTCTAACGATTAAAGTCGATCATCAAGCTGGAGCAGTCATCAAGATGAGGGTTCATCGATGCTAGAGCCCGGGTCGGCGTTCTGTAAGTCGTCGCTTTCGTTGGCGTTCGATTCGAGCTTGGAAGCCATCGGGAGCGTGACACCCTCGCGGTACCATCTCACGAACTCGCTAAAGTTCACCTCCCCAGTCTCGTCTTTATCGAGAACGCGCATGGCCATGTTGACTTCCATTTCGTTCACGGTATCGTGTCCCAGCGCGTTGAGTAAGTACTTCAATTCCGTCGACGAAAGCGTGCCCGATCCGTCGGTATCCCACTCGGAAAAAAGCGCCGCGAGAGACATCGCCTCTTTCGGCTCGATGCCGTAATCCTCAGGCTTGAAACCATATTTCGACTGCGCGTTGCTGTACTCGAAGTAGGCGGCTAGGTTGTGAAGCGTTCCTTTATGTTTGAGGTCAATTAGTTCCGCCTCGGAGTGCAAGGCGTCGCGAAGTTGCGTGAGTATGTTCACAACGTGAACCAACGTCGTTGCACGCTTAAGAGAACTGAGTGGCTGGGTAAAACCGCCAACGACGTGATCTTCGTCACCGATTCGTCGCACCGCGCTCACAAATTTCTTCAAGTTTGACGTTTCGAATCGAACGGTGCTGTAGACGTAAACTCCGAGAATGATAAGGTGCGCCGCCGCTTCCACGGCGAAGATCGCGGCGCCAACGAGCACGCAGAAACCAGCGACGTAGTTCAAGAACGTGGGCAGTAAGATCTCGTATCCAGAGTAATGGACGATGACCGCGAGAGAGAAGAGACTCATGCACAGCGCGACGTTGAAAATGGCCGCCGCGAGCTCGATACCGATCATCCCAAGCGAGCGTTTCGCGACGACCGCTCGTAGATCACCCGGCTCCTTGATTCCCAGATCCACGAACCCTTTCGCGATGAGTCGCGCCGCGCGCGGGCTCAGCGACGTCTGAAGCACGCGCGTCATTTCCTTCACCGCCTCTGCGTCCGATTCCGCCGCCGCGCTGTCATCAGGTGTGCGCCTCATCACTGCGGGATCGATCGCGTTCGCGGTTCCCCGATTCTCCTTCTCGTCTCGCATCGACACGTTTTCTTCCGTCTGGACGCCGATCAACGCGTTCACTTCGTCCGGAATTGATCGCGTCCTGACGCGCGCGCGTCCCGCAGCCCCGCGCCCGAGCGTTCGCGTCGAGGTCTTCCTTACCACCGCACGCGGCACGTGAACGCGCGTCGTCGACGCCCTGAAACGCGTGAAGCCTCCGCCTTGTTCTCGCCCGCGCGCACACGTCAACGATCTCGCGTGGAGCATGGACGATCGTCGGCGAGTGCCGCTTCGTCACCTCGTCTCGTCTCGGTGGTTCGTCGATTCGTATCCTCGATGTCCTCGTGAGATGATGACTGGCCCGCGGGTGGTCAACTTTGACACCATTAAAGCGCGAAATAAAGCGTGAAATCGAACACTTTGACGCACCGCGCCGGGAGAAAGCGCGTCGTGTCCCCGGAGACGTCTCGTCGTCGGTGTGTGTGTTTGAATGTCGTTGTTAAAATCCGGGACTGCATGTCTAACCAATGCGCGAGACGGCTCCTGTTCAGAACTTCTCAAGCCTAATGCAGTTATCGTGATCCTGCGGAGCGAAGATGAGCCCGCTTCCCATGTCTCGACGATCGAGCTGAATTTGATACGGGGCGTACTGTCCCGTCGGCCACGTCGATCCTCGATACCAGTGCGCGACAACCGCGCCTCCGGCCCATCCGTCCTCTCCCGGCCCGATTCTGCACTGCACCCGCGTTCCGATCGCGAAACGCAGCTCATCCGTGGGCACAGGTCCAGGGTCTGGCACCTCCGGTTCTGGTGGCCACGTCGTCGGCGTCCCATTATACCAATCCTCGACGATTTCCATCGGCGGCGCGCGTTCGTCTACGTCGATTTCCTCAACCTCCTCCACCTCGCACGGGATCCCGTACGCCGTCCCGCATCCATCTCGATATATGATTCGCACCACCGTATCGATCGGCGCACACGACGGATCTCCGCACTGAATCTCACTCACGTCGATCACGCACGCGCCGTCGTCGAGGTGTTCCTTCGGGAGCGCCTTGGCCACCCAACCCTTCACGCGCTCGATCGCGCCCTTCTTCACCCGTTTCTTCGCCGCCTCGTTCTCGAGCTCGTTCGCGTCCGTGGTCGGGAGCTTAAACGGCCCCCCCATCATCGTCTTCGCCCGCGCGTCGGCGTCGTCGGCGTCGGCGGTGGCGTCGCGCGCGCGTGTGGCGACGGGCTTCTGGACATTTCTTCCATGGTGTACATCCACGAGTCACGACTCGTGAATGCAAGGACACCACCGGGACGGACGCCCACCGCGCGCGCCGCCGCGCTCGCGCGCATCGCGCGACGCGCGCGCCGTTCGGTCGCGATGGCGTCCTTCGTGAATCGATTGGTGAACTACGTCGTGAACGAACTCGCGGTGAACGCGCTGGCGAACTCGAAGACGTTCCAGCGATTCGCGGTGCGGAGCGACGCGCTCATGCGGGAGGCGACGAGCGGCGAGGCGGCGGCGCTGGCGAAGAGCGCGGCGGAACGGGCGAAGCGAGCGGCGGAGGACGCGGCGAAGGAGTTCATGAAGCAGCGGAAGAGCGGAGGGATGGGGGGTGGAGGGGCCTAGGGGACGCCGCGCCGCGCGCCGGGCGAAGGGAGCGCGGACGCGAGCGGCGAAGGAATAATTTCTCGCGCGGTTCGCTTGTAACACTAACGATTGCTTGATGATGAATACAAGAGATGAATGCACGCGCGCCCGGTGATGAGGGTCAGACGTTGGGGTAGTAGGCGTCCGCGGGAGTTTGGTACGCGCTCGGTCGCGCGGGGGGCATCGACGGCGACTCCCGCGGCGAGCGCCCGTGTTCGAATACGACGACGGTGTCTCGCCGACCGCCTCTGCCAGGAATGTGCACCTCATACGGGCTCGGCTGCGGCGCGCTCGCCGGTGGAGGCGCGGCTGGTGCGGCGCTCGGCTCCGACGTGGGCACCGCCGGCAAGCCACGGAAGCTTCGAGTTGAAAAAAATGGAATCTGCTGCCCGGTGCGTCTGCGATAATGATATATGCGAAACATGTGACACGCGATGGATAGCAATACGAATAGAACCGGCAGCACATACCTGAACGCGGAGTTCTCGGTGAAAGCGCCACTGCTCCCGTTCTCAGTGCCACCAGAAGCTGCACCGAGACCGCAACTCGTGCTCCCGGTTCTGAAGCACAAGTACACGTTGGAGGTGCACAGCGCGTTACCGTTCGAGAGCCCACCGGGTGGAAGACCGCACGTGCCTCTCAAACACAGGCGACGCGGCGCGCTCGGCGCTTGAAAGTTGCTCGAGCACTCGTACTTGGAGCTCCCGACGCACGCGTTCCCGACGCACGAGTTGTAATCCGTATTCGAAGCCAACGTCACGTTACACCGCGTGAGTTCGTACGTTCCCGACGTCCCGTACGTCCCGGGCGAGGCGTAATCGGTTACGACCCAGTCCACGGGGTCGTAAAACGACCCACTGTTGGGCACCTCGGTCTTGAACTCGATGCCGTAGACATTTCCAGTCGAGCAGCACGACCACTGCACCCCGGGGCCCCACTGTGGGTAGTTGAGGTCATTGTCTGCGTGACACGACGCCATCGCGCGCGGTGGCGACGCCGCGCGCGGGCGCGTCACGGAGTACGGCTCATCACTGGTGGAAAAACTGACAGTTGGCGAAGCGGCACAGGTGTGGGATCGGTCGCGCGGTGCGTCGCTATCGTTACACGTCGTCGTAACTCACGTGATATCACTTACTAGGTCGACCAGGATAGTGCGTCTTGTGATCCGCAGCGTACGGCACTTTGAATCCGCAACGCGCGAGCGTGACGCCTTGAGTGGCGATCGAGCCGAGCGCGGTTGTTCGCGAACCATCCATCTTCGCTCCGTGAACGCTCTTTCCGATGGATTGGCCTTCGCAATCAATCACGGCTTTGCCGTCATTCTCCGCCCAGAGTTGGATGACGCGCCCGTGGGAACGAAGATCTCGATTCCCAGGACCCCAGTACGTTCCGTCCTTCAGAATGCAGCGGTCTCGATTGACAGTGTAACCGTAGCCTCTGTTTCCGAAATCTCGAGCGACGCGAGACGCGCTGTATTTCTTGACACTCACCGCAATCCGTGCGGGAATACTCGGCGCATTTTCGCCATCCGCGTTGACGTGGTAATCGCGTGCTCCAGTGAGGGCTGAGTTGATGCATTTCTGAATAGTTGCGTACGGCCGGGACGCAGTTCCGTGCCCGGTCTCATCGCTTCCCGACGGAGATACGTAAATATCCCCGAATAAGAAGTATAGACAACTCTTAGACGGGTGTCCCAAGTCTGGGTTGCTCTGTGTGCCAACGTAGTAGTTCAATCCGCCGTTCATGAACCACCCAGAGCCCTTGTCGAGGTTGTGTCCCGCCAAGGTACCGTCGACGTTTCGAGGCGGGTTAACTGACACCTGACAATCGGCTGGATCGCCCGTATCTCTGCTCCACATCCAATATCCACGGGCCGACGCACTCGCCTGATTATCGCGATACCCCACGTGCGTGGGCGTCCCGCTCACTTCGTTACAGCTGACGGGGCCGCATTTGTTGTAATTGTTGCTCACCTGCACCAAATCTTGGTGCGCAGGTTTGATCGAACCGTCCGAGCCCGCCTTTCCGAGCGCCGGGAGAAGCGAGCCTCGATCCTCGGGACTGTCAGGTACATGTCGTGTTCCCTCCGGGTTCGCCCCCGGAACTCCCTCAACAGCAACTACTTCGTAGGGAGCGCCCGTGATGTTGAACACGCCGTTTACCCAGGAGCCATGCGCTTGCTCCGGATCGAGCTCCGTCTCTCCCTTCCCTTGCTTCGTATACCCTCCAATCGCCGCCGGGTCACCACTCAAAGGAATGCTCCCGCCGGGGTATTGATCCAACCTCGAAGCCGGGCCGAATTCGGGCGTGATGCAACGAATCTCTGTCGTTGACACCCAGCGAACGCGTCCGCCCGGTACACCGACGACGTGTGACACATCATCGCTATCCCACAGTGATTTTCCATTCTCCGGTATCCCGCCGAACTTGCACTTGAGATATTTACTCGGGAGGAAATTGGTACCTTTGACGATTACCTCGGTATTTCCATCGAACGGACCTCGCGCGCCCCACACCGAGGACTGCGTCGTGTAAATACTTGACACCGTCGGCAAGGGATCCGAGTACGTGAAGCTCGCGTACGTGCTGTCATAATTTGTCCCATCGTTGGAAACGTATATCTTGCACGTCGTGTCGGGCACATGCGGTGTGCTCCCGTCGACGCCCACGGGAACGTCCATGTTCGGCGTCTCGAACTCGAGAGCGATGTAACTAAGCCACGTGGGCGTGACCATCTTCGTGAAAGACTCCCCGGACGACGCGATTGAGCCATCTCCATTCAAGTCGATGTCGCACTTCACAGAAACCGTCAATTTAGACCCTGGATAGAAAGTTCCGTACACCTTTCGGGAAGTGGGGAAATGCGTGGACGCGTCCGTCGGTCCTCTGTACACGTCGCTCGCTCCGAGCGTGTTCCCTCCTAAATCTAATCCTACCGCGTCGAGTCTCACTCGTGTTCCACCGATATACGGTCCACTCGTGTTACTCGCCACCCATATCTCGCGATAATTATTCGCGTTATCCGCGCCCCCGTAATATCCTGGCTTTGAGTCGTCGAACTCGTACGCCTCGTACGTCCCAGACCCCTTGATGTACACGTTTGGCATGGCGCTGTACGTCTCACCGTCGTTGGACACCGTGATCCCGGCTATACCCGCCGCCGCGCGTTCGGGCGTCACCACCGTGATCATCGATTTGGACACCCACGTCGCCTGAACCTCGGTTATCTCTGACACGGACGCGAACCGAACCTTCAGTCTCGGCGAGTTCGCGAAACCGCTCCCATAAATCCCGAGCGTCGTCCCACCCTTGGTGTGTCCCTTTGGCGGATGTAACCAATTCACCTACGCGCGCGTCAACGCCCGTTCGTCTCGACCGTCAGTCTCTCGTCATCGATTCTCGCCTCCGTCCCGCGTCTCCTCCGTCGCTCGCCGTCTTCTCCGCGCGTCTTCTCCGCGCGTACCGTCGGCGGACGCATCGCCTGGTTCCGTTGCCCACTGACGACGACGCACGGCATCCAGAGCGTCATCGCGAGCGTCATCGCCGCCGTCGAGCGCCATCGCGCGGTCGTCGTCGAGCTCGCGCGTCGACGCGACACGCGTCCCGCGGCCCGAGTGTTCGCCATCACCGTCCGCGTCGTCGCGCGCACGTCCGCGTTCGCGCGTCGACGCGCGCGCGCGCGCACCGAGATCGACGGCGCGTCGATCGACGGCGATGCGCGCGCGCGCCGGGCGCGTCTGAGGCGCGGCGACGACGACGACGACGCGCGACGACGGTTGCAAACGGGCGACACATGGATACACAGCGCATAACGAGTCCCAATACGTTCAGACCATATAGTGGCCTATTACACGCCATGTATACGCGCGCGTGGAAACCGTGGAAAACGCTCGCGACGGAGCGTTTTTTTTGCTTTTTTTCGCGTCGACCGGCTCGGCGACGGCGACCGCGAGCGCGGTGACGCCGCGCGGTGCGGCGCCACACGTCGGCGGCGCGCGCGCGTGATCTCAAAGAGACGCGCGCGCGCGCGCGCGTCGCGTCGAACGTCGTTGACGGCGAGAATGGTTCGGCTGAAGGAACTGGCGCGCGAAGAGACCGACATCGGTGAGGACGGGACGCGAGCGCGAGCGGCGGCGACGGCGGCGCGTCGCGCGCGGGCGCGCGGGCGGAACGGCGGTGCGATCGCGATCGCTAAGGTTGATTTCGATGGCGTGAACGCTCGAGCGTACGGTGGGGCGCAGAGGGAGACGAAGGAGACGACGCTCGCGGCTGCGCTGCTTGAGAAGACGAGCGTGGAGACGCGAGACGACGTGAACGCCAGTAGATCGAGCGACGGGCGCGCGTCGGCGGTGGGGCGTGACGTCGGCGTGCGAACGATCGACATGACGAGCGATGGAACGATGTTCATCGGCGGAGATGATGGAATCGCTAGAAGAGTCGCGATCGGAGGCGAGACGACGGAACGGTTTTATCCGGATTTGTGGAGAGACAGTGAATTCGTCAACGGGGGGCAGTTACCCGTACGCGCGGTGTGCATATCGCAGAAAGGGGACGAAGCGTTAGTGGGTTACGACAACGGTGGTTGGGTCAAGGTGTCTCTCAAGAGTGGGCTGACAGTCGCGTCGAGCATGCCGCACGACGATTTCGCCGACGTTTTCAAGTTTGTCGAATCAAAGAAGGTGTCAAAGTATGCGAACACCGCGCCGCAGTGTCGAGCTCTCGTCACGAACGATGATTTATCGGTGATTTATCTCGCGTCACCGTGTTTGCGTGATGGTCGAGTCTATGCTTGGGATCTGAGGGAGAGCGCAGAAGTTGACGAGCAGGAGACGACGCTAGAAATATGCCAAGAGCAAGAATTCAATAATGCGAGCACACCGCTGAAGAGTGGAAAGCTGGACGACATGGACGGCATTGACGCTTACGACGCGTGGATGAATTGCGTCGCGGCCGGCCAAGAATCGTCTCAGACTGCTCCGAAGAGAATAGTAGGAACCGTCAAGCATCTTGAGTTTCACACGGATTGCGTCACTTCGCTAGTGCGAGTGAACAGCGCACTCATCAGCGGCTCGAACGACTCACATATCGCGGTTTGGGACTTGAAGTCGAAAGCAAAATCGCCCAAGCCATACTCGATGATGCGCATGACGTCCGCTGTGAGCGTGATGACGACTTCAAAGGATGGTCGAACACTCTATGGCGCCGGAGCGGATGGGAGCGTGCGTGTGTACGATCTCAAGGGCAAAAGTGGGAAGCTCACCCTGCACTGGGTGCGCTCCATCGGCGGACAGGACGGCCGCGTCACATCGTTGTGCGCCGTGCGAAACGATCCGTTCATCATCGTAGGTAGCTCGAAAGTCTCCAATCCAGACTTGGTGTCGGTGATCCGCGGCGAGGGGGACCTGTGTATGTGGCGCGTCACCGATGGCACACTCATGTTCAGGTCGGCTGAACACGACGCCGATGTAACAGCACTCGCGGTCAGTGCAGACGGGACGACGTTTTGCAGCGGTGACGCAAAGGGAAACATCTGCAAACATGTGCTCAGTAGTGAAGCTGTCGAGCGACAAGATGCCAAGGCGCCGATACGCAAAGGATTTCTACTTTAATCATAAAAACGTTGCACCAGGTACCTCGTCGCCTACCTTTTAGCCTTCTTCGGTTTCGCGTACTTCGCTTCGAGATCGGCGAACATGGCGTCCGCCTGATCCGCTCGCATCGCGTTCTTGCGTTGGATAAGCGCAAACAAGTCGGCGGCGTCCTCGCCCTTTTTCGATTTCCCACCCTTCTTCTCCCGTCTCGCGCCCAGCGGATCTTTCGGTGCCTTGCGCTTTCTAATGTCCTTCGCCCACTTCTGATACACCGAGGTGGACTTCACCTCCTCGGTCTCGATGGCCGCGTCGACCAAGTCGGCGAATCGATGCGAGTCCTCCGACTCCTCGCTGCACATCACCCACGCGAACACCTTCGCCATATCTCCCTCGTACTTCGCGTAACACTCCAAGACGTCTCTTCGCTCCTCCTCGCTCCCTCGATACTCCTTCTCGAACGCTTCGACGTCCTCCTTGGTCACCTCCTTGTACAGGCTTCGGTAGTACTCGTACAGCGTCCGAAACTCCTCGCTCGCTAACTCCGCGTCTTCCACCGAGCCGGTCTTGTCGTACGCCGCGCGCTTCTCCGGATCACTCAGGATCCCGTACACCTTTTGCAGGTTTTGAAACTTATCCGCCGCGCTCGCGTCGCCGACGTTTTTATCCGGGTGCAGTTTGAGCGCCATCTTCCTGTACGCCCGCTTCACGTCGTCCGCGCTCGGCGCATCGTCCTTGCGCAGGCCCAAGACGGCGTACAAGTCGACGCGATCGCGCGCATCGTCGTCCGGTCGATCGTCGTCGGACATGACGCGCGTTCGTGAATGGCGGCGGCGACCGCGGCGCGCGCGGATTTCAACTCGTCAACGACAGCTGCGCGTCGGCGCGCTCTTAAATACAACCACACCAAGGGCGTGGGATCGGTCTACGCGTGAAGCGGCGAATATCGCATCACTTTCTCTCCAACCGCTCGATGGATTTCGACATCGCATCCCTCAACGTGTCCTCGTCCACCGTCGCGCAGTCGCCGACGCCGTACTCGCGTTGGCGCGCGCAATTCTTATTCTGCAACTCCACCCGTCTCCTGTCCTTATTCTCCTCCGTGCGTCGCAAGAGCTCTTTCACGTACGCCGATTCGTTCACGGCGTCGTTCACGGGCGCCTTCGCGCGCGCCTTTGCGCTCGATACGCTGAAAAGCGTCGAGGCGAACAGGAATACGACTCGTCGACGCGCGCTCGAGTCCCTCGTCTCCGTCGACGCGCGCGCCGCGACCGCGCCGCGAGATCGCGCGTCGCTCGAACCGCGCGCGCGCGGTGCGCTCGCGCGCGCGCTCGAGATCGTCGCTCGCATCGTCGACCGCGCGCGCGTCACTGCGAATGACGTCCGGCGCAGCCGCCAGACCACGGCGCGTCGAACGACGCTTCATGTCGCGACGACTGCTCAGAGACCAGCTCGCGCGCGCGCTCGGGACGATGGACGCGTCCTCGGACGCGTCGACATCGAGCGCGACGACGGCGGCGAACGGGAAGGCGGCGAAAGGGGTGAAGAAGACGACGAAGACGAAGGAGAAGAGACACCTGAGCAGACAGGCGGCGCGAGAGCGAATGCGGAAGATGCGGCGCGCGGGGGACGACGGGAAGGAACCGGCAACGGCGGCGACGAGGGAGGCGGCGCGCAGGCGGAACGCGGCGTATTACGCCGCGACGGCGGGCGCCGCTGCGGTCGAGGAGCCGTCCGAGGCGGCGTTGGACGACGAGGACGACGGCGCACTCGTTCCTATTGTTGTAACAAAGCTATGATGTGACTAATGATGTTTCAAGCTACGCGAAAGATGCCTTGAGGTGCTTTGTAGCGCCGGATCCTCCTAGGAGGGTGGCGATGTCGCCCCACGTGCTCGGCCGCCCGCCTTTTGGACGCTCCTGGGCCGAACACAACGCGCGACGCTCCGCGATTTCTCGCGCAGTCTCGCCATTGTGATCTCGAATCGCAATGTCAGCGCCTCTATCTATAAGGTCCTTACACGCATTTCGATGTCCGTTGACTGCGGCCCAGTGTAACGCGGTCCGGCCCCAGCCATCGAGCGCATTGATGCCCAGCCTCGGCTTCGGTTTTGAAGCCTTCGTTTTCGACATCGATTCTTGATCTAACAGTGCAGCTATGACCGAAGAGGACACACCTACTCTTGCGGCGATGTGCAGAGCGGTCTGTTTGTCTTCGTCAACGGCGCTTACGTTCGCTCCGCCCTCAACCAGCACGTCTATGATTGGCGCCGAGCACGCTTGCGTCGATACGGCCGCTAACAATGGAGTGCGCCGACGCGTCCCGAACGCGTTCACAGAGGCACCGCACTCGATCAAGGCTCGAATACAGCCTAATCTCGCGTTTGAACAAGCCAAATGTAGCGGTGTACTGCCAGACTTGGGATCAATAGATACGCCAGCGGCGACAAGAGCTTTGACGACGTTTTCGTAACCAGCCGCGGTGGCGCTGAATAGCAATCTCTGACCAACGTCGCTACCCCTCGACAAGCGTCGCTCCTCATCCTCATCCTCATCGCCGTCCTTGTCCTCGTCTGCATCGGAATCATACTTTGGCCAGGACGCCGTATGGACACGAATGAATCGAGCATAGTCGTTCAACACAGGACGTTGCAACAGCTCTGCCGGAGAGAAAACTCCCAGCGCCTCACCGAACGTGCCGCCTGTAGTGCCGTCCCGTCCGATAACAAGTGTCTTCACACGCTGAACGACTCGTAGTGCGGCGAGAGAGTCGCCCCCCATGGCGATGAAGTGACAGTCGCCAAAAGAAACGTCTACTCCTAGCTCCTCCGACCATATGCGCGCCACATCGACTCCAAACTTTCCAAAACCGACAGCGCAGTCTCCACCGTGATATTCGACAGTTCGATCAATGAGGGTTGATCTCGATATTTTGCCAGTTGGTGTTACCGGAAACGCTTCGACAAATACGAACGCCAAAGGGACCATGTGTTGCGGCACCTCTTTTCTCACCATGAAACGACACGATTCAGAAATCAAAGCGTCCACACCCTTCGGGCAATCGCCTATGCAGTAAGCCACGAGTTGCTTGTACTTGTTCAATACACACTTATTCTCGTCAATAAAGATACCACACGTCCTCCGTATGGCCTCCTCTATCTCGCCGAGTTCAACGCGCTGACCTGAAACTTTTACCTGGTCGTCACGTCGACCGACAACGATATGGTTACCGTCTTCGCACATCTTCACGATGTCTCCTGTACGGTACATACCGTTCCTGAAACTAGCCTTGGTAAGCTCTGGGCGGTTTAAATATCCGTCGCAGACTTGTTTCCCTCCAATCCAGAGCTCCGCTAGCCGTCCCGGTTGCGCCTCTATGTTTGGGTCATCCCCGGGCTCTGCGGCAAAAATGAACCTATTTCCTGGAAGTGGATCTCCCAAAGCGCGCGTGTCCTCTCTGACCGGGTCCGTAATCTCCTTGAACGATTGATACGCCACGCATTCCGTGACCCCATACGTGTTTACTACTCGAATGCCGACGTTGAGCCAACTTTGGGCAAGTGATTTGGACATGGTCTCTCCGCCGAGCGCCACCAAGCGTAAGGGACATGCCCGAAGTGATTCGACATCTGTTATCGAAGCAAGTAGGACCGGGGTCGTGAGACAATGTGTAGCACCGCTGAGGCGCAATATACCACTCAGCTTCGCCAATGTGATCTCGCGCGCCGCGGAAACCAGAGTGGCACCAGCCACGAGAGCGCTACAGAAATCCGTAAAGTGCGGATCAAACATGTGACTGCTCGCGCAAAACACCACGCTCTCGCTATCTATCTCGTGAGCAGTATTTTTCGAGTCGCAGTAGGCAATCAGCGCCGCATGCGACGCGACGCAACCTTTTCGGCCGTCCTGTGGATCCGCTGGTGAAGAATACGTGCGAAACGTCTTTCGCACTTGGAGACACCAATGACCCGTCGTTTGTCGTCGTATCTGCCGCGAGTAAGGTATCAGCGAGCCAAACCTTCACATCTCCACCGACTTCACGTAACAACGACTCTCCCGCGACGTTTCGAACGATGACGACGCTCACGTGAGCGTCCTCGAATATGCTCACGAGCCGTCTTGCCGGATCGCGCGGGCTCAACGGCAGTACTGCCAAACCCGCGAACATGGAAGCGAGCTGACAGACGAAAAGGTCCGCACCATCCTCCAACATGATACCACAACACGAAACTGTCTTCGTGTCCCCACCTCGCGCAGCGCTCCTCCTTAAAATGCGTCCGACGCGTTCAGCAATTCGGACTAATTCATCGTAACTCAACGTCGTCGCCGAACCGGCTAATGAATCGTAATACCGGACCGCCGTCTTCTGCCGCGTTGCAGGATCCTGCGCTCGCGCTCGTACGCGCTCGCACACTGTCATCTCTCGCGTCATCAACCGAGTTCAGAGATTGCCAATCCGTGCGCCTCTTCGAGCGCCAACGTTTTTGCGTAGCACGTCAGCACCGCATCCTGCGCGCGTTGCACCTCCTCCGCGCTCAGCGGCTCGACCCCTTTGCCCCGAACCTTCGACGCGATCTTAGTCTTACCCTTGCTCAGGAGCATGCGCTGCGAGGCACGACAGAGCCGGATGAAACGCGCGGCGGTGGCGTAATCAAAACCAAGCTCGAGTTGGAGCAAGGCAAAGACGGCGCGCTCGAACGAGAGGTCGGGCGGGCCGACGCAACACAGGCAGTTCGTGGGGTGCACGCTGGACGGACGCGATGTGTTGGACGCGTTGATTTCTTCGCGCGAAGCGCCGTCGGGCATGGACGCGCCGCGCACTGAGGCGTGGAGCCGGGTAAAGAGTTTGTAAGCGCTCGGGACGTAGTCAAAGCGGCCTTGGTGAACGAGAACGCGCTCAAGTAATTATGACGTATTGACGGTTGATATTACGCGCTAGTAGGATGTTGATGTGGAGCGTGCCTTCCGATGCGTCTGCGTATTCGCGAACGAGGAACTCACATCTCTTCAACGGTGGTCGGCGAGCACAGCGACGCATCGACGGTTTCGACACGGTCAAAGGGAAGCACCGCAACCTCGACCGTAGCGTCGCCGTTCTTCTTGGTGTTCACCTTGCGTACGGTACCCACACGCTCGGGCTTACTGCCGATACCGAAGAATCCGCCGCCGGCTCTGATCTTCACCAAGTCGCCGTTTTTCAACTTCAGAGCTTGGCCAACCTTCAAGTTGACTTCTCCTCCGGCCCATCCCCCCGTTAACAGGTTATCTCGACCGGCGAATTGCTTAGCGTCGCCCTCGACGTACTTACCCTTGCCGACGTACACCTTATCGCTGCCCTTCGCGTAATCCGGGAGCTCTCGATCGCTCACGGCGTCGCTCGTCGCCTGCTTACCCTTCGTCGCCTTGAGCTCCTCTTGAATGAAAACCTCCTTGAGCGCCTTCTCCCCACCGGGCCATCCACCGGTGAACCAGTTATCGCGCCCAGCGTACTTCTTCGCATCATCCTCGACGAATCGTCCCTTGCCGATGTACACCTTATCCTTCCCTTCCTTGCCGCTCTGCGCCACGACGCCGCGTCGAAGCGCTCGTCCGCGCGCCTGCGTCGTCGTCGTCATCCTCGTCGTCAGTCCGAGCTCGACGGTCGCGAGCGTCAATCGCATCGTTGGCCTTCCTCCCTCGCGCTCTCGTGCCTCCGACGCGTTCTCCCGCGCGTCGTCGTCGTCCTCGCCGATCGTTATCCGCGCCGCCCGACTCGTTCCATCACGCCAACGTCGCGCGAGTTTCTCCCGCGTTCGCGCGCGCGTCACGTCAGCGCGTCGCGCGTTCGCGCGTACCGTCGCGCGCGCGTTGATGATGGTCACCGCGGACGTCGTGGCGACCATCGTCGTCGTCGTCGTCGTCGCCGTCGTCGTGTGTCGTTCGCGCCGACGGCGCCGACCGAAAGCCTTTGGATCATCCTGACGAGTCGTGACTCGTCAACGTGAGACTCGGAAAATCCAAGCGAAAGATCCGCGGCGGCGCATCAAATAGCGACGCCGATGAAGCTCGAACTCGGATACTGGGCGATCCGCGGCCTCGGGGCGCCGGCGCGTATGATGCTCGAACACTCGGGCGTCGATTACACCGATCTGAAGTACGCCGACGCCGCGAGTTGGTTCGCGGTGCGAAAAGTTGAGTTGCTCGAGAAGAACGCGCTGGCCAACCTGCCGTACGTGCTGGACGGCGATCGCGTGGTGACGCACTCCACGGCGGTGTACGAGTATCTCGGAGTGAAACTCGGACACGACGCGTTCGACGACGAGGACGGACGCTGGGTGAACGCGCAAATGTTGGCTGAGTGCTACGACTTGCGAAACGCGTTGATGGCTCTCGTGTACCCGTTCAACGGCGTGACACCGACGAAGGACGATTTTGAGACCAAGTGTGAACCGCATCTCACGTCTAAGTGCATCCAGTTTTACAACAAGTTCGAGGCGACGCTCGGACTGCGAGGGAAGAAGTTTCTCGTGAAGGACACGCCGTCGTCGTGCGACTTTCACCTGTGGGAAATGCTCGATCAACACGAAATCATCGCAAAACGCAGAGGCGTGGTCTCCCCGCTCGAGCAGTTCCCGAAGTTGCAGAAGCTTTACGCCGAATTCCGAAATTTGCCTGAGCTCGCGAAGTACTTCGCTTCGGAAACGTACACGCTTCCAATGAACTCGATCGGTGGCGGCGCTCACGTGTACTAGTCGTCAACAGGACGCGGTCTCCTCCTCATTAGGTTTAGGGTTAGGCTTTAGGTTTTGTAGCCGCCATTCTTTCACGTTACACTCGCAACAATTAACGCGGAGGATATTAGGCGCCGCCGCGGGCGAGCGTTCGAACGATGAAAGGAAATAAAAACTGACGCGAGAGCTGGAACACGGCTCTCGCCAGTGTCGTCGCTAAGGACGCGATGACCGCGCCTTGCATCACTCGATCGAGCCACTTACGTTTCTCGATGTCGCTGAACGACCACTCCTCCTTCTGAAGCATCTGGATGGTGTTCGGCATGAAGAGCCAAGGTGCAATTTTGTTGAAGATGGAATCAACGATGAGTGGAAGAACAAATGTGAGAAAACCACCGTCAAAGCTTCGAGAGAGAGTGACGAGTGCCTTGGCGTCCGCAACGCGCTTCTTCGTGTATTCGGGAAACGCCACGTTCGTGTCGCCATCGGCTTTGTCGAGAGAATCAATCAAAATCCGGACGTCCTCCCAAGCACTGTTCACACCGAGGCCGAAGTACGGTTTCACAGTGTGGATGGAGTCACCGAGAAGGACCGCTTGACCACCCATGTTCAGCGACTTTTCGACGTAACCAAACGATGGTAAGCCGAAGAACTTACTCTTCGCCATGTCTTCGATGTCCTCGTCCCGAATATAATCGACAAACATGGGGAACTCTTGCTGGAAGAACTGCTTCAAGCTGTCCTTACTGCTAAGCTTAGTGCACGTCTCTTCGTCATCGGGCTTGACAAGCATGATGCCAACGAGCACGCCTTCCTTCGTTGGGAGGCACTCCAACGCGACGCCACCCTTGCGTGCACTGTAGTTGAGGTCTTTTCGCATGTGACTCGGTAAATATAACGGAATGGTCTTGTAAACTCGTGCGTTCTTGTTCGGAAACTTCACAATCTTCGTTCTGCACGACTTGTTCTCATCCATCTCGCGCACCACTGCCGATCGCATGGTGTTACCTTCGGCGCCAAAAACCACCGGGGTGGTCGTCGTTCCAACGGAAACCGCAGCGGCGAGATCGCACGTGTCATCGCACGGGCCTCGCTCGAGCTTCACTCCTTCTTCAGTGAATTCGCAATCGACCGCCGCCACGTTATACATAATGGAAACCTTATCGGAGTACTTCTTCTCGATTGCCTCCACGAGCACGGACACGAGTCGATCTCGCTGAATCACCTGCGTGTCGTACGTCTTGTTCGCCAGACGTTCCTTCGGCTCGCCGTCCGGGCCCCAGTCCATGCGTCCCTTGACCACCGCACACTTATCGATCACCTCGTCGAATAGATCGAGATCCTTCAACACGCTCTGCCCGCGCCCGCTCAGGCCGACGTTATACGAACGCTTCGCGTCGCCCCATACGCTCGTGTCCGCGCTCGGCGCCGGCTTTTGCAGGCGTTCCCAAACCTCCACGTTCGTCCACCCGCGCCTCGCGAGTGCGATCGCGGTCGCCAATCCCGTTGGCCCACCGCCCACGATCACCGCGCTCGCCGGTCGCTTCGCGTGCGTCGCGTCGTCGCCCAGCGCGCCGCGCGCGACGCGCCATCCTTGCTGACGCGGCTGCAACACCGAACGACGATTAATCCCTCGCGTCGTCGCCTCGCGACGCGCGTTCGAGAGCACACGCGTTCGCGGCGACGCGCGCGCCCGCATTGACGTCGTGGTACACGTCCGCGTCATCGCGTGCGCCGCGTCGACGTGTGTCGTGCGGTTCTCGAGCGAACGACTAAACTCGAACGGTCGCCACTCACGCGCGCGCGTAACATGGCCAAAGGTGGGGCGAAGAAGCGCCTGGAGGAGAACGCGGCGACGCTGAAACGGCTGTCGACGACGATCAACGCGGCGATCGCGTTTCACGTCGTCGTGCGCGTGCTCTTGAGGCGTCGAAGCGTTACTAAGTGGAAACTCTTCCTGGCCCTCTTCACGGCGCTCGTCTCGCGCTGGTCCCTGCGATCGCTCGAATCGTACGCCAAACCGACGTTCGGGGAGAACGGCGAGGTTTTGGACGGCGGTGAGAGCCTGCGAGGGGGGTTGACGGAATATTATCAGGATTTGATCTACGTCGGCGCGTTTGCGCTCGTGGCGACGACGTACTCTGATAAGTTTTGGTGGGTGACGCTCGTCGTTCCAGGTATAGCGACGTACATGATCGTGACAAAGTTTGTGTTGCCGTACATGCTCGCTCCTAGAGAGGCGGAAGAGGCAGAGCGAAAGGAAACCAGGGAGGAGAAGAAGAGAAGAGAGCGTTCGGAGCGCAGAGCGCAGAGAAAGTTTCGGTAACGAGAATACAATTGTGATTGACACAAATCATAGTCCTAAATTGCATCCACTCCGTTGATGATCTCGCGCCAATCGCACAGGACGTGGCCGATGACGCGCAGCCTCGCCGTGGTCATTGACGTGTCACTCGACGCACATCGACGCACTCGTGAGCGCCCGGTACACTTGGCGAATATGTTCTCTGCAGCCATCTTTACGAGGCTCACGGATGCTCGTCGCGAAGTGGATTTCTTCGCCAGATGCGTCATCATTATGGCGTCCGCGGTGGTGTTTCGTACGTTTGATTCGAGCGAGCGTTTCATGCTGCCGAGACGAGTATTGAGCGCCAAGACCAACTCTCGAGAGTCGTCCATGTACTTGTTGTGCGCGTTGATCAGGTCGCCGCTAGAACGCGTTGCCGCGACAAGACGATTTTGGAGCTGCGAGTTTGCCGTCACTAGCGTTCGATGGCGATCAAGAATCTCGTCCACAAGCTCGTAAGTATCTTCTGACTTTGACGTATCTTTGGACGGTGTGTTTCGAGTCGCGCGACTCAGAAATTCAAAGTACACGGCGCTCGAACCAACTTCCTTTAAGACACGACTGATCTTCGATCGGATATTCGTTAGCTGAGATCGAAGACGGCACATCTCGTGCGCACACGAGTCGTGCATTTTGACATCACGCCTGGCGCTCTCCTCCGCGAACTCGCGTTTCGCGTCCGCCTGACGAAGCATCTCGTCGCAGTTGATGATACTATCCTCAATGGACTTTTCCTTTTCCAGAAGACGACTCTCCCATTCAGCGAATGAGCGTTCCTTGTCTTCGTGCTCCTTGATGAGCGAGTTGAGCGTCGCGCGCACTTCAAGCTCGGTTACCGTTTTCTCTAGTAAGCGCTCTGCATCTACATTCTGCATCGTGAGTTGCACCGGTTCACGTTGGAGCGGTGACAGCTCTCGTGTTCAGAGATGCATCACCGCGCTTCAACTTGGAACGCGTACTGAGTGGCGGCGAGCTGTGCGTAGCAGTTTCCCACAAGGTGCTTCCAAATTTGGAACGACGGGGCGCTGTCAACAATCGCGCGGCGCACAGTCGCTTCACGGATCTTGCTCGCGCAAATACAAATCCACGCGTGGAAGTTTGAAAAATTCAGTGAATCGGCCCATCGATTGTGGAAGTGCAGTCTCGACGCCGTGGCCAAGACCTTGCACCTCCAGCAGTCTTCGCTCCCCAACAACCTCTTCCGAGTCACCCTCTTGACGCGTCCACTGCGAAGCCATGTTCATCCAACGCTCGGAATTCTTCAATGGCGAAATTTCGTCGTCGTGTCCGTGAACGACGTACGCCGGACACTTAATTGTGGGAAACCCTGGTAATGTCTCGGCGTCCGCTCGAAACGCATCAGAAAACTTCACCCCGTAGCGCCTCTCAAAGTTGCCTAGAAGGCTCGCCAAGTTCCACGTGGGCGAGAGTAAAAAAACCTTATCCACTCTCAGTGGATTCGCCTCGGCGTACATTGCCGCCACGAACGCACCCGTGCTCGATCCGATCAGGCGTATCGGTCGACGCTCGTCACCCTCGAGCGCCTTCGTCAACGTTTCCAACGCCGTCGAAACCGTGAACTCCTCTGAGCTCGAGCCCACTAGATTTGGCGCGTCGAGCGTGATACCTATCATCCCCAAGGCGTCAGACAGGTACTTCCACGCGAATGAGTCCCCGTTCCCGCTCAACAAGTCCCCCGCAAAGACGTACCGATACGCCCGCGCCTCCTCCAGACTCGACTCGAACGCCGCTCGCGCGCGCGCCTCCTCCGCGCGCTCCGCCTCCGCGTCCGGCGGTGCGTTCATCTTCTTCGACCAACTCGAGATCCAATCGCTCGCGGTCTTTGAGTTGTTCGCGGCGTTAATCTTCTCAAGCTCGGCGTGCAGAGCTTCGTCGCTCTGTCGATCGTCTTTTGACGACGACGACGACGCGCGAAGCGTCGGGCGACGCGCGCGGGTTGAACGCAGCGTCGAGCAACGCGCGCACGCGGTCGCGGGTGTCGCTGACGCAAGCCGCGCGAGCATGACTTTCAGCTGTTGTAGTTGATAGACGCACTGAGGTTTCTAGACTGGTGAGTGCTGGATATTGACATTCGGAGCGGAGCGCTTACACGGGCACGGCGCCATTGAGCTTGCCAGACTCGACGAGCTCCTTGACGAAGCGACGAGCCTCCAGGTCGTAGTGCACGATATCGTCAAGCGTGGGATCGAGGACCAAATCTTTCTTATGATCCTCCATCGCCATCTCGATGACCTTGTAAATGTCAAAGTAGCCCATCTTCTTGTCGAGGAACATGGCGACGGCTTGTTCGTTCGCGGCGGAGAAGACACCGGTCATGGTACCGCCCGCGCGGCCGGCGGCGTAACCCATCGGAAGAGACGGGTACTTCTCGTAGTCCGGAGCGCGGAACGTGAGATCGCCCATCTTGACGAAGTCCAGGCGCGGCCAAGTAACCTCGGAGCACTCGACGCGGTTCGGCCAAGACATCGTGTAAAGAATCGGAAGGCGCATATCCGGCCAGCCCATCTGAGCCAAGACGGAGCTATCCACGGTCTCGACCATGGAGTGGATGATGGACTGCGGGTGCACCACGACATCGATGTTGTCGTACGACGTACCGTAGAGGTAGTGCGCCTCAATCACCTCCAGTGCCTTGTTCATCAACGTCGCCGAGTCGCACGTAATCTTCGCGCCCATGTCCCAGTTGGGGTGCGTCGTCGCCTTCTTATGTAAAGCCGCGGGATCGGACACAGCGAGCTCGCGCATGGTCGCAAGGTCCATGTCACGGAACGCGCCGCCCGAGGCGGTAAGAATGATTCGCCGAAGCGCTCCCTCCGGCATGCCTTGGATGCACTGGAAGAGCGCGCTGTGCTCGGAATCCGCTGGCAAAATCTTCACGCCGTGCTTGACCGCGAGCGGCACGATCGCGGGACCGCCAGCGATGAGGGTCTCCTTATTCGCGAGGCAAATATTTTTGCCCGCCTTGATCGCCGCCACCGTCGGTGGAAGACCCGCGCACCCGACGATACCGGTCACGACGGAGTCGCAATCCTCATGACGAGCGACCTCAACCATGCCGTCCTCGCCGTACATAATCTCCGGCATCTTCGCCCCCCTCGCGTTAATCGCACTCTTCAGCGCTTCAACGTCCTCGCCTCTTTGCACGCTCACGAGCGCGGGGTTAAACTTTGCGCACTGCTCCGCGACGAGCGCCACGTTGCGTCCGGCGCTCAGCGCCACAACCTCAAACTTATCCGGATGTTCCTCACAAATATCCAACGTCTGCGTCCCGATCGACCCGGTGGAGCCGAGCAACGCGATTCGCTTCACGTTCCCGTTCCCGAGCGCGGCGACGTTCGCCGGGACCTCGGCGCGGCCCGGCCAGCACGCACCGTATCGATTTTCATTGTTCGCCCCTCGCGTCACCGTCGATCGCCCGCGCCCGTCCCTCGCGTCACCGCGCGCGCGCGATCGTCGCGCCGCGACTCGGGACGAGGCAACCGCGCGCATCGGTCGCGTCGTTCGTTCGCGTCGCCCGTCTCGGGATGCGGACGGACCTCGAGCGAGGCGTCGATGGGTGAAACCCCGAGCGGGCGGTGTGGATGATGACGTGTGGGCGAACAGTCTCGAGTCGAGCCTCTCGACGACGACGCCGACGTCCCGGGCGACGCGCGCGACGGATCGCGACGCCCGGCGCGCGCGGACGTGGACGACGGCGCGATGATTAAACTGTTCTCCGTCAAGGTGCGAATGCGCGCGCGAGATGGCGACGAGTGGCGCGGCAACGGGCGAGAGACGAGATGATGCGCCGGATTCCGCGGGCGAGCGAACGACTGACGCGACGACGACGACGCGCAGGAAAAGCAAGAGAAGGCGGCGATGGAGCGTGAGGCGAACGGTGGACACGCGTCGAGACAGTCCAGTGGGGAGGTTCGCGTCGCGAAGGGTGCGTGCGCGACGCGCGGGCGCGGATCGGGACGCGAGACTGACGGCGCATGACGCTTCGACGCAGACATCTCGGAGCTGGCGCTGCCGCGATCGATGTCCATCGCGTTCCCGAACGGACGGGATGATTTGTTGAATTTTATCATCACCGTGAAGCCGGACGAGGGGTACTACCGAGGCGGGATGTTTGAGTTTTCGTTCGCGGTGCCGACGATGTACCCGCACGAACCGCCGAAGGTGCGATGCGAGCGCAAGGTGTATCACCCCAACATCGATCTCGAGGGTAACGTGTGCCTGAACATCTTGCGAGAGGATTGGAAGCCGGTGTTGTCCATCTCTAGCGTCGTCTTCGGTCTGTCGCTGCTCTTCAGCGAACCGAATCCGGACGATCCTTTGAACAAGGACGCGGCGGAGGACCTCGCGCGGACGCCGAAAAATTTTGAGCTCAACGTCCGACGTGCCATGCAGGGCGGATACGTCGGTCAGCACCGCTTCTCGCAGTGTTTACGATGATTTCGCGCGCACAAAGAGTCACACGAAGCGTCGAAACGCCACGACATGTATCACCGACTTTAGACAGTAGTTTTCGCTCGCCCGGACGCTCGAGCCTCCCTGACGTCACTTTCCTCTTCGCCATGTTCGTTCTCGCTCGAGCTCCCGCGTGCGCGCCGTCGACGAACCGAAGGCGCGCGGCGACGACGAAGCGAACGACTCGCGTCGCCCGCATCGCTTCGGTCCGCGCCGCGTCCGAGGACGTCGACTCCACGAGCGACGACGCCGAGCCGTCGCCCTCCATGTTGGAGTTCGCCGAGTCTGGCTTTCCCTCGGATGAGGACGACGTGATGGACCCGCGCGCGCGGGACCGGGCGATGAATAAGGTCGTGGATGAGATTCACGAGCTGAACAAGGCGGAGGAGGAGGTGCTGAACAAGGCGTTCAAGCTCGTGGAGAAGTTTGGGTTGAAACGTAAGACGGCGAGCGAGTGAGCGCGGCGGAGCGATGGCGAATTATATGAAACGCGCGATGAAAAATTGAACGCGAAAACTTCGTAGTAACAGTTAGTACTAGAATTACATCCGCGCTCTAATTTGAGGGGCTTCCGCGAAGTGCGCGAGCGATGTCGAGCTGCCGCTCGAGGTTGAAACATTGCACGTTCGCGAATCCGCGCACGAGTGAGTAAGCCATCTCGTATCGTAGGCCATCCACGATCGCGAGCTCTTCCGTTAACCTAGAGTTGAAATCGTTGAATCTCTGTCTCGCGAGTCTGGCTTGCTCCTCTTTCACCGAGAGGTCGTCGACGTTCTTTGGTGGCTTTTTCTTCATCGCGGCAAGTTGCCGGTCGAAAGCGTCCATGTCCACCTTATAGTCCGTTCTTTTCGCTACGCACGCCTTGTATCCCGGTATGGCTTGACGACGATGAAGCGTCGGGTCGATGATGTTCCAATCGAAAACTTCCTCGTTCAGTGGCGTGCATCGCGTCACGAGTGCGTCTGCAACGTCAACCATGCTACACGCCTCACGGAGCGCCGCTTCTCGAGCAAGCCTCGGAGCGCCTTCCCACGTGTTGTTCTTATCGCCTGACTCCACCAACTGTCGAACAAGCTCGGCGAGGCGTTTGCTGTGGGTGAAAACGTTGCGCTGCGCCTCTTTATACGCCGCGCCCACGGCGCAAATTTCTTGTAAGATTCGCTCCTGCTCTTGCACGCAAGACCACAATCCCTTGAACTGTTGGTCATCAGTTTTCTCCGCGCTTCCAAAGTTTTGAAGGAGGCGCTGCGACGTCCGCCGCGACGCGGCACTGATCTTGTACCCTAAACTTTTCGTCACCTTGCCGTCACGGACTTCCGGAGCTTCGCCTCGCCGAAGCGACTGGACCGAAATCATACTCGGCACTCTAGTGGCGTGTTGGCTTCCGGCCGCGTCCTGCAACTGACGCAACAACTCTTTACCACCGCGAAATTGTTTTTCTTGCTCTCGCTGTTGTCGTGCCGTTTCCGTCTTCGCCTTCAACTGCGCCGCGAGCATGGCGATCTTCGCCGTGGCGACTGCCAGTCGGTCGCTAAACGCAGCGTCGTGCGAGCTCCCAACGAACGCCTCGGTCGATCCCGCGCTCGCTCCACCGGCTTGAATTACCGCCGACGCCGTCTCGTTGATCCGCTCCTCCGCACTGACCTCTTTCTCTCGTCGTCGCGTCCCGCTCACCGAGTCCGTCCGCGCGGGCGCTCTCGCCCCGCCGGAAACTCCATACTCCTCGCTCGACGACATCACCTGAGCGTCCACTCTTCGCTCCCCCATGTGCGCGCTCGCAAATTCATTCACGATGTCGTCCACGTTCGCTCTCGCGCGCGGGGGTTCCACGGCGCGCGCGTTTGGGAGATCGTCGTCCACAAAGAAAGGATTGCTCATGACGCGTAGAATCTCGCGTCCGCGCGCGCTTGTACCTCTTTAACGCGCAAACGCGCGACGGAGCGACGTCGAGGAACGCGTTTTCTCGCGTATCCACGCGCTCGTGGACGCGTCGATCGACGAAGCGGAGCGGGACGCGTCGATGAGCAACGCGGAGTCGTTGTGGGCGGTTGGTCTTCTTTCTTCACACAAACTCGCGCGGCGCTGATATTTCGTGCGTGAAAACGCACGAAAACGCTCCGAGACGTTCGGCGGGCGCGGTTGTTCAACGCGCGCGGGCGGGGACGGGAGTTCCAGACGCGTCGTCAGTGGGCTCAGAATACTTTCATCCACGCGTGAAGAACACGAGCCGAGTCCGAGAGGCAGCCGCGGGTATTACAGCGCGCGATGTGTGTCGGTGAAGATGCGAGGGCAAACAACGAAGTGGTACCGACGGTGAAGGACGACGACGCGGCACCGGGGGCGGAAGACGACGTGTCCGGGCGAAACGACGACCGCATGCTCACGCTGGGCTTACGGCTGACGCACGCGTCGGCGAATGTCCCGAGTCTGGAGCACTTGATGACGTATCACGAGATAGAGGTACGTGCGGATGGGAGCGACACCGCCGCCGACGTCAAGCGCAAGCTCAGCGAGAAGGCGCATCTTCCTGCCCACGAGCTCTGTTTGCGTTGGTTCGATGCCATCATCGGTCGCTCACACCAAGGCGAGGACGTGAGCGTGGACGAGCGCGACAGCTTGGCCAAGCATAACGTCACGTCTTGGATTGAAAAGTTCCCGCACTGGCGCGCAACACTCACGCTTCTCGAAGACGCGCCAAAGGATGAGTTCGAGTCTATTCATACCGCGACCGCGATTCACAAAAACGTCAAAGATGTCAAGGGATACGTCGATTCCCTTCGCGGCACCGAGGAGTGGGACAAGCTCATCGAGTAACGCTCATCGAGTAACGTCGATCCCCATCCAGTGTCCTCTTGTGAAGAAGTCTTCCAAATTTTTCCTTAAACTGCACTCGTCAACGCACTCCGATGATCGTCCGCGTGCGCACGCGCGACGGCACCGAGCGCGTGGAGATCCCAAGCGCTGCGTCCACCGTGGGCGAGCTCAAGGACGCGATCGAGCGCGAGCTCAAGGTGCCGAGAGACGACCAGATTTTGTCCACCTCGCCCGACGTGCTCACGAGCAAAGATCCGTCCGCGTTCTTGGACATGTCGGACGACGGTGACGCGCTGGAGTCGGTGGGGGTGAAACAGAACGGGGCGATTGTGCACGCGCGGTACACGGTGTGCCGGGAACCGACGAAGACGATCGCGGCGACGCACAACGACGCGAGAGGGCTCACGGGCGGGAAGATGACAGTGGACCAGATGATCGCGGCGCAAACGAGGATCGAGCGACAAGAAGCGCCGCATTGCGTCAGTGTGTCGTTCGATGCGAACGCGGCGAATGTGTTTCAGAGTTACGTGAACTATACACTCGGGTTCAAGCAGGTGCGGTTTGGGTGGTTGTACGGAACGCGGGACGACGAAAACAAGGTTCGCGTCGAGGCAATTTACGAACCCGAGCAAGAGGGCACGGAAGACGACGTCGAAGTGCTTGAGAATACGCAAGAAGATCACAATGCTGAATGTCTCGCAAGTTCCATGGGGCTCACGCGCGTTGGATGCATCATCAGCACTCCGAAGGACGAGCGAGATTTCACCTTGAGCGCCAAGGAAGTTGCTCGCATCGCGCGCTTACAGTCCAAGTACGGTCAGCATTTCGCGACGGCCGTCATGATGACGTTCGAAGACGAAGATGACAATTGGCAAGTCTCGTTCGAAGCATTTCAGCTCAGTGATTTGGCGATTAAGATTTACGATCGAGGCTGGTTTACCGGAAAGTGTGCAGTTGATGAAAACGGAGAGGATTTGAAGGGCGTTTCAAAACTGACAAACGAAGTGATGGTCGAGAGAAAAGACGTGTTTGACGTGGATAACGACTTCTTCCTAGTCACAGTACCGATTTTAGATCACGAAGGTCCCCTATCATCGACTTTCCCGGTCGAAAACCGCTTGCATCCAATCCAAACCGTAGACGATTTGAGGGAAGCTCTGCAGAAAGATAAACCATACGGCGACCGTCTGCGAGATTTCCACTTACTTCTCTTCTTGGCAAAACACATCGATATCAATGAGCTCGTGGCAATCTCGGGCGCTGCGCACGAGGGCGAAGAAATTCCAGAGGGATATCGCTTGATGATCGACTGTTTAGCAGGACTTGCGTAGCATCGAGCACCATGACGTGTAATCAATATTTTTTACAAGCTGTATCGCGGCGCTATGGATAAGCATGATGATACGTAAGACAGTCTCTCGGGAGCTCGGCCAAGATTTCGCGCATGTGCGTTCTCTTGAATTCGGCGGTGAGAGGGCGCGCCATTGCGGTGTGTTTTTTGTACAGTTCACTCCTCTCGAGATCCACGCCTTCGCGAACGTACTCTCGGATTATGCTATCTATGTCCAGTTTTCTTTGCGCGCGCACCCGATCTCGTTCCTGTTGCTTTAGTTCTCGAGCGTTCTTCCTTATGATTCTCAGTTTCGTTTTCGTTTTCAACTCCTCGTCCTCGCGGGCTCTCTTGAGCCGTTCCTTGTCGGCCAGCTGTCGTCTCCTGATGTCCGCCTTCCAGAATCGTCTGTGCCGGCTCGCTTGGCGTTGGTCGCGAGACAATACGTAAACGTGATCGAACGGCAAGCCGCGGTAGTGCTTGGGAAGCACGCTCGGATCTACCTTCGTCAGGTCCTGCTCAAGGATAGTTCTCTCGTGCGTGCACTCTTTACAGAGTCGCATTCCAAAGTGCCACATCACCTTTCGCGTCGTCGGATGCTTATCGCACAGCTGGCACCCGTTCATGCACGCGAGCTCGAGCTTTTGCAGCTTCGTCATCGCGCGCGGCGCGCTGACGTCCGCCTGTTTCAGTTCCTTCTGTAAATCTGGCCTCTTAACATTTGGCCAATCCCAGAGCCCGTACGGATCTTCGCGCTCCACTATACGCGCACGTCCACACTCATTCTTCACCCGCGTCCACATCACGGCGTACATCTTTTCTCCCACATCGCCGTCCATGATTTCTTTGAACATCGTACAAACCGAGCGCAACCTGCACGCCGTTCTTGCACACGCACGCGTGAAATCCGACCGACGCTTCCGCTCCATATCCGCCTCTCGTAGTAGATCCTTACGCTCGTCTTCGTCTTGTCGTAAAAGTGCTCCGAGGCGGCCGAAGCCGAAAACTGGCAGCGCCGGCACGCGAAGCTTACGCACGTTGTATCCATTTCTCTCGAGATCGCACACGTCAGCGTAATGCTCGAGTATTTTCGCCCAGCAATCACGCGGGAGGTCCACGGTGCCGTCAGACTTACGCGGGCGGCCCATTTCGACGCTTCGAGACGCGCACACGCGCGTCTTTTGACGCTCGAGATGCGGGTTGCGAGTGTGGTAGTGAAGTCGTGCACGAGCGATACTGCTGGTCACAAGGCAATCGAGATACTAATACATTTCTAGTCGTTCGCGCCGTGAAGCATCTTCTTCGCGCCCTCGGTCTCGGCCTTGAGGTCGTCACTGACGTACTTGGCGAGGAGATCGGCCTTCTTGCGGTCGAGAACTTGCTTTTGAATGTCGGTTTCGTCGGGCAAGGCTACGTGTGCGACGAACCGGGCGCCGGCGCCACCCTTACTCGTCTCGGGGCGCGATTTCCCGCTTTCGAGCGCACGGAGCGTTTGTTCGGCATCCCACTGTTCGATGGCTGAGCGTCTCATCTCGGCCTCGGCCTCGGCCTCGACTTTGAGCAAGACGCCGTCCTCCTCGTCCCTGAAACCGAAATAGCCGCTATCGATGTGTAAGTTCATCTGGTGTCGCGTCCGCCGCACCGCCTTCACCGAGGGCGCTTCGAACAACTCCTTCACCCCGGGCAAAGTTTTCGCCGCGCCGAAGTACTTGTAAGCGTTGCGCGCGCTCCCCGCGGGCGCCACCATTCCCCCGTCCGCGTCCTCCATCTTCGGCGCTGAGGCGATGTAATTCGGCCCGCCCAGCTCAATTATCCGCATCTCCCACTGCCACTTCACCTTGAGCAGCTGGTTGATCTCATCGTTCAAATCCCTTATCCTGTGCTCCCCTAACCCCGCGTTTTGAATCTCCATCACTTTCTGCCCGATCTCTCTCAGGACGTCGCTTCGCCACTTGTCCGCCTCGTTCAGGTCCCTCGCCGCGTGCGTGTGCGAGGGCCTCGACCTCGACACCGTCCCTCGGAGCGCGTCCTGCTTCCCCGTCGTCCACTTATTGAACATTCCCTGCGTCGTTCAGAGAGTCACGTGCGGTGCGTCGTCAGTCGTCGCGCTCGAATGAACTCGCGCCGCCCTCGAGATTCTCCCGAACGGCGTCGCGTCCTCCCGTGCGCGCGCCTCATCGTCGCGGTCGAGTCATCGCGAAATGTACGCACGTTCGCCTTCTCCTGATTCCGCGCCATGGCGCTCGCGTGACCTCGCGCGTCGCGGAGTACCGTAATCTGTCTCGAAATCAATCGGTACTTCTCGACGCGAAGCGATGGACGCAGACGACGCGCGCGCGATCGCGGACGCGTTGAAACGGGCGACGATGTCCGCGACGTCGACGACGGCGTCGAAAGCGACTATGCGCGCGCGTGCGATGGAGAAGATGGAGTTTGATTTCCCAGAGCTCACGCTCGAGGAGCTCGAGTGCGTCGCCGACGCGTGCAAAACGCGCGCGAGGGATGATCAGCGTGATGTGCGGCTGACAACGACGTTTGCGAGGAACTGCGCGGAATTGGTGACTGCGGTCGGGACGAATGATGGAGAAGAGAGCGATGAGGCACGACGACGGGCGACTGCGGCGCGGAGCGTTTTCGGAGCGACGTACGTTGGATTGGCGCTCAGGGTTGCCCGGACGAGCGAGGATGAGGGATGGGAAATTTTAAGTCGTTTTAGCGCGGACGAAGAAGCTGAGTTGGAATCGCAGGAGGAAATGGTATCGTCCAACGGAACGAACGGAGCAAAGAATGGGACGCCGACTGTCGTGGACTATGCGAGCGACGGCAACGAAGATTGGGAGCCACTGGAGACTGAGAGGACATGGTATGCGTCACAAAATATCGCACAGACTGATGAATCTATCACGACGAAACTTCGAGCGTTGATGCAAGAATTACACCCGTCACGCGTCGGCGCCACGATATCGAGCAACAAGGGGCCGAGCTCTGAGTGGGAGCGTTCGAAGATCGGTAACGCGTTAATCGATCTCTTCGAAACCTTTTGCGCGTCCACCGATGAAGAACGACGCGCGCTTCGGTTGTGTCCTTTGCGCGTTTTGAGGGAGCGGTGGGCTGTCGTATCTAGTGGTGAGATCGGCATCGACGCCGGTTTGACGCGCGTTTTTGCCGCGTTGAAGTTTGGAGAAGAAGTCTCGAACGGGAACGAAGATTTGCTCATCGCTTTGGAGCTGCTCGGGTACTTGTGCTTACGAATTGGTGCGGATACCATGGGTGTCTCAGCGTTCAGTTTTGACGTGGACGAATCCTCGGCAACTGCACGCGCTAAGTTATGGTCACAAGTCAATCGCGCCATTCCAGTCGTCGCAAAAATTTTAGAGCAAGCCGCGCGTTCGATGAAGACGAATCGAGATGATCCGTCGCAGCAAGAAATCGTCGGACTGAGCGCTCTTGTGTTAACCTTCTATGCTACGAATGTAAGTGCGACGACGGCAAACAATGTTGGCCAGCGTATCGTCAGCTCGGGATGTCTACGAGCGCTCGTGAACATCTTTGCCAACGTGTACGACTTATCCTTCGCCGAGGCCGTGCGACGGTCTCTATTGCTATTGACGATTGCGTGCGAAGACGTGTACCAGTTCGTATCGCGTGTGACCAGTCTTCGCGACATTTTAGCAGACAGCGCGTTCGCAGAAGATGCCACATTAGCGGGACACGGCGCCTTGTGGAACTTTGCGCTCCGTGAAAATGACTCGGAGAGCCATGTGGCGAGTGTGATTCAACGCTTCGCCGACGAACTCGAAAATGACACTGCCGTCATCGCGCTGCGAGACATCCTGTTATTGACGCACGCGTGTGAGCGTGCAGCGCGTTTCGGTCGGAGACGGCTTCTTGTGAAAGGTGGCGAAGTAATGGAAGCGCTCAAGCGTGCGAACTCGAACATCATCGACATAATAACGTCTTTTGCCCGAGTGCGAGATGAGCACTTGCGCATCACGAGACCTTCTGATGTCGACGACGACGAAAATGTAAAGAAGAACGCGGAAAATCCAAAGGCTCCGGACGTGGAGAAACGCCGAGAGGCAATCGTCGAGGTAAGTAAAATTCTTAAGACGCTTCTTTCATCGAGCGACGGTGCGGTCGTGCGCAAATCAGACTAGACCGATATTATTCGTTTGTTGACGCCCGTATTATCTTTGTAGACTACAATTCATTTAGCTGATGTTCACTTCTTGTTCGACTTGCGCGAGTTCTTTCCAGCGCCCACGAGATCACTATCCTCCGCCTCTTCAGCGCCGGAGCCTTTACCGTCGAGTCTCTGCGGTTGAAACATGTAAACCGAATAGATGACGTTACGTCTGATTTGTGCCATCATCTCCGTGTACAAGTTGAAGCCTTCGAGCTTGTATTCGATGAGCGGATCCTTTTGAGCATATCCACGTAAGCCAACAGCTTGTTGGACAAACTTGATCGCTTGCAAGTGTTGCTTCCACAAGTTGTCCGTCTGCGAAAGGATGAAGAAACGCTCAGCCTCCCCCATGAGACCTTCTTCCTCTGCATCAACTTCTTCGCACTTGCGCTTGTAGAATTCTTGGCTCTTCTGGACGAGGAAGTCACGCATGGCGTCGACGCCACCCTTCTCCGCAATGGGTCGGACGTCGCTCTCATCGATTTCGCCAAAGTAGTAGCAGTATTGACGCAACTTCCCGACGAGACCGTCGATCGGCCATTCGGCGACGGGTTCGGAATCATCGATGTTCGCCTCGACGATGTCATCGATCGTGAGTTCGGCGTACTCGAGCATTTGTTGCTGGAGTTCTTCTCTGCTCGCAGTGAGAGCACGGCGGCGCTCAAAGTACACCTTTTCGCGCTGCGAGTTCAGCACAGCGTCGTAGTCAAAGAGCTGCTTGCGAATATCGTAGAAGTATCGTTCGACCTTTTTTTGCGCTTCGTCCAGGGAGTTGGTGAGCATGCCGGACTCGATCGGCATATCCTCAACGCGGAACGCACTCATGAGTGCTTGGATGCGATCGCCGCCGAAGATGCGAAAGAGATTGTCCTCGAGGGACAAAAAGTATCGAGTGCTACCCGGATCGCCTTGACGCCCGGAGCGGCCTCTGAGCTGATTGTCGACGCGTCGCGATTCGTGTCTCTCTGTACCCACGACGTGTAAACCCCCAAGTTCGAGGACCTCTTTCTTCTCAGCGCTCGTGTAAACCTTGTATTCGGCTTCGATCGCGTTGAACGCCTTGCGAATCGCGAGAATGGCCTCGTCGTCAGACGGACCCTTTTCACACGCGAAGGAGAGTCTGTCTTCGGCTTCGAGAGCTTCGAGTGACCGTTCGCCCCAAACAGAGCACGCGGTGTCCACAGCGGCGCTGAGCAATTTCGCGGTGTCGGTGGAGACATCACACGGGTACAAGCCGTCCTTGACGGCCCACTTGTTCGCGCTAGCCTTGGCAAGGTTCCCCTTCTTCTCGAACGCGATTTCACCGTCTTCCGGCTGCACGATGCGTTGCATCAGGGATTCACGTAAGCGAAGTCGCGCCATGAATTCGGCGTTGCCGCCTAAAAGAATATCGGTACCTCGACCAGCCATGTTCGTGGCAATCGTCACCGCACCCTTGCGGCCGGACTGCGCGACGATTTCGGACTCTCTTTCGACGTTTTCGGGCTTGGCGTTGAGTAGCTCGTACGGGATGTCGTCTTCGTCAAGCAATGCGGCGATTTGTTCCGAACGTTCGACCGAGGTCGTACCGACGAGCACTGGACGTCCCTTCTTGTGCATGCGTGAGATTTCCTTGCGCACCGCGTTCCACTTACCGCTCTCGGAGCGGAACACGACGTCGGTGGAGTCTTCGCGACTCACCGGGCGGTTTGTGGGAACGACCGCGACTTCAAGCTCGTAAATGTTACTGAACTCGGTGATTTCCGTCTCGGCGGTACCGGTCATGCCTCCGAGCTTTGGGTAAGACTTGAAGAAGGCTTGGTACGTCACCGAGGCGATGGTCACGGTTTCGTTCTGAATCGTCACACCCTCCTTCGCTTCAACAGCCTGGTGCAAGCCGTCAGACCAGCGGCGCCCGACCATGGTACGTCCGGAGAACTCATCGACGATGACGATCTCTTGACCGCGGACGATATAGTTGACGTCCTTCTTTTGGAGCTCCTTGGCCTTGATGGCGTTGATGAGGTAGAGCGCCCACTGCGTGCGAGGGTCATACAGATCGGTCACTTGAAGGAGATCTTCTGCCGCCTCGTAACCCTCCTCGCTCAGCAAAACGCTCTTTTGCTTTTCATCCACCTTGTAGTGAAAGTCGCGCTCGAAAGCGTCGGCAATCTTCGCGGCTTGAATGTACCGCTCGCTCGGTTTATCGGCAACGCCGGAGATAATAAGTGGCGTTCTCGCCTCGTCGATGAGGATGGAATCCACCTCATCGATGACGCAAAAGTTGAAATCACGTTGCACCAACTCGTTCGTGTTCTGTGCCAAGTTATCTCTGAGATAATCAAAGCCGAGCTCGGAGTTGGTGACGTACGTCACGTCGCTTCCGTATCCCACGCGTCGCTCCTCCTCAGCCATGCCGGCTTGGATCAATCCGCACGAGAGACCGAGAAACTTGTGAATCTGCCCGATCCATTCCGCGTCCCGTCTCGCCAAGTAATCGTTCACCGTCACCACGTGCACGCCTTTCCCGCTCAGCGCGTTCAGGTACGCCGGGAGCGCCGACACGAGCGTCTTCCCCTCCCCCGTGCGCATCTCCGCGATTTGCCCTTCGTGCAAAATCATCCCTCCGATCAACTGCACGTCAAACGGCCGCAAACCCAACACCCGATCCGCCGCCTCTCGCACCACCGCGAACGCCTCGACGAGTAAATCATCCTCCGTCTCGCCCCGGTTTATCCGCTCCTTGAACTCGCGCGTCTTCCCGCGGAGCCCGTCGTCGCTCAGCCCCTTCATCGCCTCCCCGAGCGCGTTGATCGCATCCACGCGCGATTGATACCGTTTCCGCGTCCGCTCCGCTGGGTCACCCTTCATCATCTTCTCCAGCGCGCCGAACATCGCGCGCGGCGTCGTCGGCGTCGCCCGTCGAACGCGCGTCGAGCGCGCGCGATGTCCCGGGACCGCGCGCCCGGCGCGCCCGGCGCCGCGCGCGGTGAGCTCGAGGGCGAAGGGCATCGTCGTCGACGTCCGCGGTCGCGCTCGCGGTCGCGCGCGCGCGTGCGCGGGCGCGCGGGCGCGTCGAC